GTTCTTACAATGGCATTGGTTCTGCCGTATCAGTTTGAGTCCAATCAGAACAAACACTTCCAGGCCTCCAATAATTGCTGTGCTCTGTGCTAGGGTGTGCCAGGCTTGCTCGTAAGTGGGCAGTAAGGACTGTGTTACGAGATTGCGCCATCTTGTAACAAAGGAAAAGGGGTGGAATTCCAAGAATCTTTAAACATTGAACATTAAATATGTGAATATCTAAGATAAAGACTGAATCTTCAAATTTGTAGATCAGCATGCCTTTACAAGGTATGAGACTAAAAGGCTAAAGAGGTTAAGGCTAAAAACCATTGACTTATCCTTCATGGAATGATTTACAGTGAAACCCAGGTTAGTGTATTTGTGGACAGTCCAGCGTAGGAATTCTGAGGCCTATTAAAAAGACCAAAGTCAAGCGTCAAGGGCTTTTAAATACCTGTAACTGCTATTGGCTGGCAAAATGCTGCATACCGACCATTCTTCTGTGGTTGGCTAGATCATGTGCCATGGAGATCAAAGCCCCTCCCTTGCTGAGGAGAGTGATGAGAGGAATGAGGAGGGGGAGGGGCTGGGCAATATTTACAAACACTCCTTAAAGAGACAGGCGCACATTTCACTGGTGGTAGGATTCACTGGCTGGATTATATTACTGACACTGGAAACACAGGATGATATAACACCACACAGCTACACAGCCAAGGCTAACCCTTACAAGTCATAGATATCTGTGGCCATAATAAGTGTTTCACAGCTCACTCAAACAAGCAGAGAAATTGTGTGGAAAGTGTAGATTGTTTTTGGCAGAAATAAAAAACATGCTAAACAGCCAAAAATTGCAAAGCTCAAATTCGCCAATGCAAAAATGAATCAAATGTAAATGTCATTTATGTGACATACTTAATCACATTGTTACATAAGAAATTATATTTACATTTGATGTATTTTTACATTGACAAGTTTAAGCTCTGTATTTATTTTTGCTGTATTTATTAATTTATTATGGTAAATGTAATTCTATATTTACATAATTTCAATCACACTAAAAAATTAATAAATTTAATTTTTAGACATAGTCCTTAGACGTATAAGTGGAAAACTGTAGCGCATTAAAACAAGTGCCAATTACTTAATAAGAGAAAAAAATATATCCACTCTATTTCTTTAATATGCCACAGAACGGAAATGGGGACTCACACTCAAGTTGCACGTTGACTGACTCTTTACTCAGAAACTGAAGACTCGTGAAATTTCAGACAGCATAGCAGCATCAAAACACAACATATGCTGGTTTTACTGCTGGTTTTTCTAGCAGGGAGAACCTTATGTTTCCAACCCAACATGTGTGACTTTGCCTGTTAGCTTTGCTACAGTTATGCACAGTCATTACTTCAATAATGTTTCAAATAAACTTTCATTACAAAAAACCTGTCAGGCTAAAGGACAGAATGAAGCACTACAGAAAATGCTTAAAGGAAAGAGGCAAAACAACAAACATGTAGCAACTATGCTAGCTAGCACAATAGCTAATTTAGCTGAAGTTGTCCACTTATATAGCCAAAGTTTTAGTAAATTACAGATCAATTTCCTTCCAACATATTAAAACTTCAGCTGAATATACCTGGAGCTATAGCTATTAGCCAGCTAGCTAACACACTTGCTATCTAAACTACAGGCTAACTGTAGCGTTTCAGTTCTGTCCTTTAGACTGAAGGTTTTACTGTAATGAGTTGTTTGAAACCTGACATTTTTTTAGTACAATGTAATCCCTGCTGATAGCACAGGTCTAAGCTGGTTTATGCTGGTTAATTCTGGTCTATGCTGGTTTATGCTGGTCTGGTGCTGGTTTAGCTGCTCACCAGGCACAGTCATGCTGGTTGACCAGCATACCAGCATCGAAAACATCACATATGCTGATGGTGACCAGCATATTAACTTCCATTGCTCCTGACCAGCATACCAGCATCCAAAACACAACCTGTACTGCTTTTGCTGGTGACCAGCCATGCTGGTCTATGCTGGTTTTTCTGGTCAGTGATGCCTGCAGCTAATAATGAGACTAAAACTAAACTAAAATCCTCTACTCAGACTTGATATTTGATTCGCATAAAGTAACTTCCAAGATTCAGTGTTGACTTTCCCTTCAGGCTTCAGTGTGTAACTTTATTTTGCCTTAGAATGAGTCCTCAGGTCAGGAGAAGTGTCAGGTTATTTGTGGTCAAATCTCTGTCATGACCTGATGAGTTGAATCATGCATGTTAAATGAGGCTAAGCGCTAAGACCCCTGGTTGGGGCAGTTTAGCCAACATTAAGTTAACAGTTATCCACATCAACATAATAAGGCTAATTATTCAATAACTACATAGTAAATGATTGACTTATTTTCAAGTTATAGGAGTGAGGAATAGCAGTGAATGTTAAAGGGTTAAAAATAGGTTAATAATAATTATTCTACAAAATCAAAGATCAGAATTGTCCAGGCTATGGTCTTTTCTCTCTTTCTTCATAGATGAGAAAGCTGGACAGTGAAAAGCCAGGACAGGCTTTGAACTTTGGTGCTAGTGAGGAGTTTGGAAAAATAAACAAATGGACACATCCAAATTAAGCCTCACACCTCACTCAAAGCCCAGTTTGAAGCTCTCTTGTTTTGGACACTCATAAGCTGGAAAAGACAATACTGGTCAGAACAGCTGAAGGTAAAGAAGGAAGAAGAGCAGCAACAAGATGGAAGGAGATCAATCATGAACAAGCCATTAAGACATCTGAAGCACCAAACAGAAGACAGAATATATTGGAGAAACACTATCAATGGTCATCAGGTCAGCACCTATTACCTAAAACAATAATGATGATGATAATAGTAACAAATAAATAAATAATACTGTAATAAGCATTGTACTAAATAGTAATTATTGTTTCTTTTATGAACAGTGTGTCTTTCTCAAACCCAAAGTTGCTTTAGGTTTATGGATTTATGTGTTATTATACGCTTTTAGAAAGATGGTTCTTTAAAGGTTCTTTAGTAAAGTAAATGGTTCTATATAGAGCAATAAACACCCTTTGCATGATTATAGGGTTGTTTGCATTGTGAAATGTTCTTCAGATTGATTGAGAATGTAGTGTAGATGGTTCTATATAGAACCTTTTTGAAAAGGGTTCTATACAGTACCAAAAAGGGTTCATGTCTATGTTTGGGTTTGAGCTGCCTGCATTTGTATTTATTTATTTCAAATTTATCTTAAGTTTAATTATTGCTTTTATTTCTTAACTGAGTCTATTCTTTGTAGTAGTGCCCTTGCGAGCTGTTATGTGCTGCTGAAACAACAAAATTTCCATCTGGGTTTATTATTAATGCTTATTCAGTAATGATACGGACTACAATGCAAATTAGCTGAGCTATTCTTAGGTTACAGAAGTGTGTAGTAAAAGTTTGAGTTTATAAAATATTGTGTATATCTGTCATTTATTCAGCACACAAACATGTCTAAACAACATTCATTCGTACTCAGTATGCACAAACAAAGACCAACATCTAAGCAAGATTCGTTGTCATCAGCTGCCAGTAAGCTGCAGTGTCCCACTTTACCTGACACCCTTCTTCAACTGGGGATTGTAATATGACATTTTAATGAGCACCTCACTTGATTAAACAACCAAAGGAAGAGCCCTGACCACCCCTCCCCCTCCATCTACCTTCCTACACACTTGGAGCAGATGGTTCTTCAAGGGCTCTCTAGTAAAGGCAATGGTTCTATAAGGTTCTTCTATTGTTACGACGTTCAGCTTTTTGTTGCTACACAGAACCGTTTACAAAAAGGTTTCCTAGAACCATATACAACACATTCTTTATCAATCTGAAGAACCATTTCAATATGCAAAGAATCATCTAAGCATGAAATGGTTCTATATAGATTTTATGGCTCTAAATAGACTAAAGAACCCTTGAAGAACCATCTTTTTTAAACTGGCATTCCGCCAGTTTTTCTAAATTTCTGAATAGTGCAATCCTTGAGATGTAAACATTGTCATGGTTTGTATGAAATGGTTGATTATTGTAGAGACTCAGATTTCTTTACAGTGGTGGTGATAGGAACCAGGGGTCACCATCACTACAACACAAATATAGCTATTTCATTTGCCATCTAAAACCACCAGTGAACCTACACTTGTCATCTTAGTTTTTATATACAATGTCTTATATATAAAAGCCTTGCATGAACTCCTCCAAATTAAAATAAATGGATTAAAATACATTTTAAGCTGAAACTTTATCACAAATCTATCATAAAACAATGTGTTATGCATTAGACAGCGTATATATCTAAACACTTCATGTAATAACTGTCTGTGAGGGAGCTTTTAGAGGTGGACATCTGGTTCCTATTACCACGACTATGAACAATTCTGACTTTGCAGTTTCTTTAGAAAGGCACATTTCACTCCAAACCACTCTGAATTGTGTTTTCATTTCAACCCTTTAACTATGCAAAAATTCTGAAAAATCGGCGGACTTCCCCTTTAAGTGTGTACCCTTTCTACCCCAACCATTCTGCCCCTGGAGCTCGGCTGGGACCTTGTGTAACGCTCTGATTGGCCCAGAGCGTCAAATGGGCGGGGGCTTGGGCGGGGCTACGAGCGCTGTGATCTCACAATCAGCTGTTTTGTACGTTTCTATATTCTGATCCGCGGATCAGCTGGGCGAAGCAATAACACCGCAAAAATATCTGCAGGGAGAAGAAAAGGGGAAAAACAACACAGGCCGTCAGGAAACAACGGAGGGATCCTTGCAGATATCATGATCTGAAGATCGTGTAGTTTACAGTTTACACTTCTTCTGAGAAGAAAGCCTTTTTTTGTTTCTCCCTTATTTTTTATGCTGGTGCACTTACTAGGCTACCTCACAGAAAGGCTACCTAAAGCTGTGCTTTAAGATCTGTGTTTGTTTTTTGTCCTGTCACGTTTACAACTCGATCGTTGTCGTTTTCTCGCAAAGGCAGGTAAGATGGTGTTGAATCTAAGTTTCTTTGTTCCTCTGAAAGCAGACTGGACTGTGTGTTTTTATTCTAATGCCATTCTTTCTCCAGGGCTGTGTGCAATGTTTGTGTTTTATTCACCGTCTATGGAGAATCTAACCATACATGGATGTATTTCATTTGTCGACCTGCCTTTTATAGGTCATCATTATAATCCTCATTTCGTCATTGCATTGCTCTACAATAGCCCCTCTGACATCAGATTTTGGTGGGGGGTTGGCTGGTTTTCAACACCCCCCTTATAATTCAGCCACGGTATGTTTGCTTCAGAAATAGGAGAAATAGGCTTCTTCGTGGAAATCTGATATATGGCAATATACGGAGTTCAAATATATGGATATCCAACCTATAATGGACGTCTATGTGACCTATATGCCAACTTATTTGAAACTGGGATATATACGTCAGCATATACAACAATATATGATAGAAAGCATTAATCATATATGGATGTCCACCCACCTATCGGATGGTCCATATATAATACATATATGTACACTACATATATGACCATTTATTTTGAAATATGTGTCTAACCCTGCATGATATATATGCATATATGGCAATATATCAGATTTCCATTTTGGAAAATAGTAGAAATAGGCGATGATAGATGTACAACATCGACTCATTAATCGATTGATGTTGCCTATCGGCTTCGTGTGGACCCCTAATCTGCTTTTCCTGGGTGGAAATATTGGTATTATAAGCATAACCGTCTCTCTGGTTGTATGTTAGCTAGGCTGTGTATGTATTATGGCTGATGGGTTTGAGGTCAGTGTTAATACTGCTGATCCGAGCTGTCATTGCTGTGACCCTTTTCCTCTCAGCTGGAAGAAAATTCACCCCCTATTTACAGCCGCTGCTTTGTCAAATCGGCCAGTTTTATACTTTGTTTAGAATTCATTCATCGTTTCGACCATCGCTGGACAGTTTTTTTTTCCAGCTTTTTCCTTTTTTTCCCCCCGTTCAAATGTAAACACTGCTGGTTGCCCCTCGAAATGGTGCACCAAGGAAACCAAAGGGAAGCGATGTTGTTGTTTTCCTCCTCCTAAAGGCGCCTGGCGCTCATACTAAACATTTTACAAGAGCTTAAAGTCGAGATTAGGCCTTAAAAGTCTCCATTTTCCAGTTTTAAGCCCGACAGCAGTCAATATTCCTGCAGCTTTTTTTCCTTTTGTCGTGTATTTTTCCGTCCTCCGGTCCCGAGAAGGCGGGGCCAAGCTGAAAAAACGACGCCGGTGACGTCAAAGCGTTTCGATGCGCCCGCCCACCGCCGACGAAGTCCCGCCCACACTGAAAGCCATTCAAATAGATGCTAGGGTTTCCCAACAATGACTGTATTAACCCTTTATCTGGAGCAGCGGCCTGAAAGCTCACCTTAGTACGAAATACTGTCGGTTGAAATAATGAAATAATCGCTTAAGTAGGGACCCAAAAATATAAAAAAAAATCCATGTAGAGCTGCAGTGGAACTGTACATCCAGGATCTATCAGCATAGGAACTGAAGAACCGAAATTCAGGTGCTATTCTTTCTTTTTGGATACTCTTCGTCGAAAACAAAAAGCTAAAGCTACAAAGTGAGATGTGTGAGCCAAAGTAAAGCAGTGCAGGAGCACAACACAACAGAATGAGATAAAAAAAAATATATATTTATGACTAATGTGGAACTAAGCTTTGGAAAAAAAGTAGGATCCATCCCTTGCACAGAAGTAAAAGCATTATAGAACACCCAGACATTGCTAAAACCAATCCAGTACATGGAACTGAGTATATTTTACTATTAAAACAGGGAGTCACTAATATTTTCAGTATAGCTTGACTGTAAGACCAAGAGTGGGATCTATTATAGCCAATTCAAATGTCACCTGGGTATTTTTGCTATATGTGAACTAAATCTATGTCCTTTCCCCTGTTTAAGTAATAAAAATACATTTCTTCGCACCTTCAGACACAGCAAACATGAAATTCCAGATAATTTAATTGGAACGTATGAATAAACTCGAACAAATGCAGGAAATGCACTCTCAGGAGAGTGAGTTACGGAACTGACACATGACCCAAGCCAAAAACTAAGCAGTGAAAGAAAAGACAGCTTTGTTTTTTGTTTTTTTTTGCTTTTTTTTTAGGGCAGGAGGGAATCACATGAGAATGAAACTGTGTATGAGCAAGCTAGCATGAGAAAGTAATTGCTAATGCGCCATGGATCTAAAATCATTAATCTGAGGTAAAAACACATCATAGATGTGAAATTTGTTCCAGCCTATGCATATTAGACAGATAGTATGGAGCTAGCCATGGTGCCAGCTTCAGACCTGGCCCTTAAGTACAGTAGGCCTGCTTTGTTAATATGAGCGTCCTCGTTTTGTCCTGTTACTCATTCAGGAAACACCACCGTTGTCTTTCTTCCTAGGCCTTTATCTTTCAAATGTGTCTACTTTGAGCCAGTGGTACTTCTGCCAATGTTCTAGTTCCCACACATGGACAAACCTCCTGTAACTTCAGCAAAAATGACATTTTAATTTGGCACTAGAGTCACATAATATCAACAGACTGAAAGGTGACCTAACGCACCCTCAGGCCTGTATTGTCTGACCAGTGTCAAAGTAAGGAGTGTAGGTTTTCTTCTTTAGAAAACAGACAAGAGTCGATGTAAGATGCAAGTTACATGGCCTGATGGCATAACTTAATTTTCTGTGTTTATTTTTCACATTTTCTGTGTTATGTGTTTGTGGTACACTGTTATTGGCATGTCAGTGTGTCCTTTGCCACTACATTATTTATAGTGCTCGGCCTTTCTGCGTGACTTGGGTCAGCCACCTGGACTGTCTGACTACTTTCCTCTTGAGACACCTCTCCTGATTGGTCAGTTTCTTTTTGCACAGTGGAGTGAGCAGGGCTTAGAGATTTTGTTTGCACTCATTGACCCTTCAGTGAGCACTGTAAATAAAGTGAATGAAACTGTTTTCTTCTCCTTCCAGTGAGCTTTTCTCTAGAAAATGGGGCTCCCCCTATGAAATGAAATACACTGTTTTATGTATTATGTATTCCATAACATAAATAGAATTATATTGCAATATGTGTGCAATGCAATGCAATGTATGCAGTTTTTATTTTGGAATATATTTATGAACATAGAACAATATATTCAATTTTCAGTATATTTCTTGCTTTACTACACCTACTGGTTTAATTTACCAGTGCACTCTTCAATATTTAAAACCTTTTTTCTCTATCCTGTGTGGCTATAAATGCAAATTGTCTCTTATTTTAATGCATTAACCATATAAAAGTTTTCAGATATCTCTTTTACATGTGTGCTTGCCAGAAGAAGTTTAAATGGTAGGATGTTTCTATGCCATTACAGTCTGTGGTCTAACACTAGTCCTCTACGTCCACATTCACGAATACAGATTTTAAAATGTCACGTTACTTTTACTGTCAAGCAAAAAAAAACGAAATGCAAAAGATCACACATCAAGACAGTAGGGTCGCTTCTATGTGACCTCTGGCAAACGGGACAATATTATCTGGAAAAAAATGCACCATTAAATATGGTTGCAAATGCGTGATTGTCTTTCTTCCTGGTGTTGATAACAGGGCTCACAAGTTTTATCACAAGTTTTCTTTACCCACATGAAAAGACCGCCGCCCATCTGCTCTGCTCAAACTGCATTGAAGTGGCTGCAGTTGATAACTAATGATGAGCTCTGTGAAAAAATGATCAAAGTCTAATACTCTAATACTAATACTTCCAGAAAGCCCAGTGAGCCTAGAGTTATGTATTTCACATAAAATTGGTCCCACTCACTGGAAAGCAAACCATTACACTGTCCACTGTCAGTTCCTAGCTATGCTAGTGGTTAATCTGACATTTTCTGAAGTCCTAGCCTGATTGGATATCTTTCTGTCAGGCATTTCAAGAATTTAACCCTTTGCAGAGCTTAAAAACAACAATCACGAAGGCCGCGTGGGTTCCCAACTGGTATGAATGTATCTATGCTAGATGTTGCTTTGCTAAAGTAGTACTTCTGACACACTTTCTTCAGTTGTCTGCCACGTGGCAAAGTCTCCCTCAAGTACCAATTGGACATGTTGGAAATAGACTGTTCTCACCTGCACAGCTGGGAATACTAGTTCTCTTTTTTTTTTTGGATCTTCAGATCCAGAGCTATTTCCAGAAGTAGTAGAACTGCTAACTCCAGTTTTGGTAATTTGCTAACCCTGTTAACAGCACTAAGCTGGTTTATGCTGGTCTTGTGTTGGTTTAGTTGGTCACCTAGCATGGTCATGCTAGTTGACCAGCATACCAGCATCCAAAACACAACATATGCTGGTTTTGCTGGTGCAAATTGCTTTTTGTATCAGGTAATTTAGGATTCTTCATTCCATTCAGCTGACAAAACAGTGAGATTTGGTATCTCTTCCCTCTTTTTCCCCTTCAGGCCTTTGCAGTACAAGAGAGACCATAAATTTGCACTTCAAAAGCCCAGCTACTCTTCCAAGACTCCTTCATCAACAAGGGCTTGACAAGCGAAAGAGGCCAACACACCGTGCTGATCACTCTCAAACTGCCACTGAAGACCAACAAAATTAGTACCTGTAAATAGATTATTACATTTGTTTTCTAAGAAAAACACCAAGGCAGCTCTCTCTCAGGACATCAACAAATCCTGCCCTTTGACCTCTGTGGCAGCAACCATGTTCCAGCGGCTCAGCAACCTGTTGTTTGGAGAGGTGGAGGACGTCTCCGCCGAGCTGAATGGACCCAAGCCCTGTGTGTCCGAGGCTGATGAGGAAGGATGGCTTTTGGTCAACTTACCCGGTGAGTGTTCAGGGGGGTTTTGGGTAGTGTAGTCCATGGGGCCATATTGTAGTTCCATGTACCAAAGCAGCAATGCTGTGGATACAGGGTTAAAGATCAAAGAGTTAAAGAAACAGTCAGAAAAATCAAGTTCATGCTCTTACTCCAGATGTTTGCTTCTTGGACTTCTTGGACTTATGTAACAATTAAGGGGCATTCAGGCCTAAAACTATATTTTATTTGTTTTCTGTAGCACAGCATTATATTTCTCAGCTTGATAGACTTCATCAACTACAAAACCCAGCAAGCATTGCTCAAGTACATCTTATTGGGAATCCTTGTAGACTAATAAATACAACCAAGCTAGCATACATGTAACTCTTACCTCAGTTGCTAAACAAAATCGTAAAAAAAAATATCTTCGTTCACCTTAAAATGGATGCCAGAGACAATTTTTAACCATTTTTACACAAGTTTCTAACCTTTTAACCAGAGAGCAGAAACCAAACTGATGTAAGATGTCTAAATACACAGGTAGCTTTCATGCTAACTGTAGCTTTTAGCATGTTGAGTCATTTCTGTCATTTGAGTAATCTGTATGCCATTGCAATGATGTTTTGAAGACAGTTACTACAGAAAACAGCCTGTGCCTAAAAATACGACCTAAAGCAGTTTTCACGATACATCAGAGGGTTTTAAAAAAAAGGGACCACTGCAGTATCACTGTAGGAGATGAGTAAGCATGTTTACAACAGATGTAACAATAGTCACAATTTTCAGGTTGGCCAGAGTGTCTCTTTAAAGGAGGCCAATAAGCATCGAGCCAGCTTCAACCCATGTTAGGTTATTGAGTAATCTCAAATAGACTTATTCATGTCATTTCTGACACTGTATGGCATTCTGTTATCTATAATCATGGACAAAAGACCAGACAAGATGGCTTCTACTACTTTTAGCTATGTGACATGGCCTACTTTTGCTAATTTTTATAGATAACACCATAGAGGTGTGACATCTTCTTATATAAAAATCATCACCCAACATATATGAAACACTACCTATATTTAATAGGTACATGATACTAATGGTAGTATTCCTATGTTTTATGTCTTGTTGTTTTTTTTACCTCCTCCCATTCCCCCATATTTGAATCTTGAATCCTCCCACTGGTGTGTGTGTTCACATTATACCGGCGTCCCCTACCCGCATGGCTTCATTTACTGTGGTTCCACTTACCGCACCCACCTCTTTCTATTGATTTGCTCACATTCTATCCCTATTACCCCTATACATGTTCTATACACCGCCCCCACTTCACTGTGTGCCCAGGTAATGGTGACTGTACCATGTTGGGCGAGGATGGGGCCGAGGCACCACCAACAGCGCAGTCCCTTCCCAACAGTGAGTGTCAGAGGGCGGAGTCTAAACATGTTCCAGCCACGCCCCCTCGGATATGTGACCCCGCCCCTTCCCCACGTAAAAGCCGCAGGACTAGAGTGGCCAAGGCTAAGGCGGCATGCCCCCCGTCTCCCTGCTCCCCCGACTTCCCCCTTTGCCCTAATTCTCCCTCCCCTGTTGGGTCAGTAGGAGTGAATGCGATGTCCAGCCCCGCCCACTGCCCGCTGGGCTCCGCCCCCGTGTCGCCGGGTTCCCGTAGCGACTGTAGCAGTGGCGGCAGCGGGCTGGAGCGGGGCAGCATGGACGAGAGCTGGTTTGTCACCCCTCCCCCCTGTTTCACTGCAGAGGGAGCCACCGCGGAGGCCAGCCCGATGGAGGACCTACTCATCGAGCACCCCAGTATGTCCGTCTACGTCTCCCCCGGAAACCTGTCTGTGGTGGAGCAGAGCACGGCCAGCCTGACCAGCAGCGTGAGGTGAGCTTTGAGGTCACATAATGTCTGATTAGTCCACATCACTGAGGCATTTGGTGTGGATGCACAATTATATCGGGATCATATTGGTATCGGTGGGTGAATACTTTTTAAAAATTATACAGACGTTTCAATTTGACTGGTAATTCAAATCAATTTTTGATGACATATTTATTGTATTGTGTGGTATTTACATATTTAGAGTTCCCACAGTGGTGCATCTCTAGTATTTGCATTATAACTGCAACAAATGATCAAGTTATCAACAACGTTGATCATGGAAAGACAAAAGCATTCTGTATGTCTATGATCTATAACGATTATTCCCACAGACTGTAATATATTAAAGGAAATACAGCAGGCAATAGGCACAGAACTCCGGAGAGGCTGTGAGATGGCTATAATTTTCTGGATTGTCATCTTGAGATCACAAGATAATTAAGTCGTGATCTCAAGATAGCACATTTTGTTATCTCAAGATCACAAGATAATTAAGTCATGATCTTAAGATAACAGTCCAGAGAATTATAACTACCTTATGGCCTCTCTGGATTTCCATAAATATGGCTTCCGTTTTGTTGCACCATAAAAGAAGACATTACTTGTTGCACATACAAACTTTGAACTATGCAAGTATATTCACAGACACTTACGCAAACATGCAAACTCAGAAATGCAAATTGGTGTATTTACATTGAGATGCAACTATCTGCAGACCTGTAGAGCCAGCAGCAATTCCAACTAACAAGTTGTGCTAGCGTAACACTTAGATAGCTAGTGTTGTACAAAACATAGATATTTAGTGTTGTACCAGAGTAAAACATAGACAGCTAGTGTTGTATTAGCATAAAACATAGACAGTTAATCTTGCACTAGTATCCCTGCCAGAAAAAACAGCAAAGACCTGCATAGCTGATCACCAGCAAAATCAGCACATGTTGTGTTTTGGATGCTGGCGTGCTGGGTCATGCTGGCTGACCAGCGAAACCATTACCAAACCAGTGTAAACCAGTTTAAACCAGCTTGAAATTCATGCTGGTCTAAACTGCTTTTGTCAGCAAGGATATCCAGTGTTGTACTAGCATAACAATTACATAGCTCGTTAGCTAGTATAACCCGTTAAACTGTTTCAAGCATCATTTATTTGAAATAACAGTAGCTAGCTAAGACTTTAATTTGTCTTGTAAATCATGACAAATGTGACTGCAGGTCTAGAACTGCTGCTGGCTCTCTAAGTCTGCAGACAGATGATGAACACTCCTCCTCTCAATCTTTCTCTTTTTCTCTCACTCTTTCAGCAGGATGTCTGAGTCAGTGCCACCCCCTGCGGTCAGGAGCAGCATGCCTCCCAGGATGGCCCGAGGAGCGGCCTGTCAGGCGGTCCCCCTGGCCAAGGTGACGCAGGTGTCCCGTGTACAGAGGGCCAAAGCCCGCGTGGAGCGCCGCCACTTGGGCCGCAACCGCATGCAGCGCCAGAACCGCGTCCGCGAGCAGATCCCACGACACACCGCTGGCGCCCGCAACTCCTTCCTGCACCAACCGTGCCAGCGCAGCCTTTGCCACTGACCGGCCCCTGGGGCAAAGCTTCACACTGAGGGCATTATTATAAATACATAGTATCTAGGAGAGGGGTGTCCAATTCCAGCACAGTTTGTAGCTGATATTTTCCTGCTCTTCAAGCATATTGTAATTGGAATAGTTTTACCTGGGGAGGTATTATAGTTTAAGATGTTAGCGATGTGATTGACGATGAGATTAGAGTAGTGAATGGCCTTCTGTTACTGGCTGAACTCAGAGCTCCCTGAGTAATAGTAGTCCTGTTCTTATCCATCTTACCCTAATAACAAAACATAGCATTGTGGGGTGTTGTTATTGTTATTGAATGTGTTCTGTGGACGTGAACGGGGACATGAACACCCATGCTATGACCATAAGTCATGCTATCTGTGGGAGATCGGTGAAATTGTGCAGATACTTTTTCTTGTACCAGTTAAATCCCACAAATTACATCACATAAACTCCTCTGAAAGCACTTGAATCCCACTCGAGCAGTGCTTAACCTGGCAACTGACTGCTGAGTTGAGCATAGAAATCACCAAACTGTGCTGAAAAAAGGCCATCCAGGCCCAGAGCTGGACACCCCTGACCTAGACACACCACTTGTTGTCTATTATCATCCACTGAAATTCTTTCCTACACCACAGCTTTTATTTTTTAGCATTTTCATGTTTCTTAGAAGTGACACAGGTAGAGTTAGCTTAGCCCACGTTAGCCTAGTCCAATTTACTCTGCAGCTGTAACATGCCAAGCTAAAGCAGGGTTTTTAGCTTATAGTGCTCAAATCCATCCATTAAGATCTCTCTCTCTGTCTCTGTCTCTGTCTCTCTCACCCCACTCATGTAATCAGCAAGAATTTTTCGTTCGGGTGGTTAGGATGGCTCCACGTTAAACAGTAGCAGCTTTTCCTCATATCTTACGAATACCGTTCACATGTAGAGTTGCTAAACTGTCAAGAAGTGAGCATGGCAACATAAAAAATATTAAAAACAACAGGACATCTATGTGTAGCAGGGCCATCCAAAAAAGTTACACCAACAATAACACAGGGTCAGTACAGGAATGGACATTGAAATGATTGAAATGGGTCTGAGGTTGTAGTCTCATGTCCTTTATTTGCTTTCATGTTTTGTGTTGGAAAAGTCCATTTTTCTCTTTTCTTTTTTTTGGGAATTTTGAAAAGAGGAAAGAGCATACCGTAGAAACGTGTTGCTATGTGGGCAGAACTTCCAGCATGGAAAAAGGGATGCACTGAGGAAAAGTAATGCACTACATTTATTTCATTCAAAAATGTACATCATTTCCACATAAATAAAATATATCACATCAACACTAGTTTGCCTTTCAGTTTACTTACCTTTGGCAATAAGCGTGTTTATGTGATATATTTTAGTAAAATTCAATGCATTACGTTTTTCAGTGTGTGCTTTTACAACACACAGAATGAAAAAAGTAAGTACAGGAAGGTGAGAGCGAGAATAAAACAGATTAAAGAGGCCTCGGGCGTGTTGGACAGAATCAGGGTTGATGGGGAATCAGAGAGGATTTCATTAAGTAAGTATTGTAGCCCACTAAGCAGCCTGAGTAGGCCTACTTAAACAGTCTTATGGTAGCAGCTTAAGGAGGAAATCCCACCAAAGAATGAAATTTTATAATTGGTTTGATTCTTTAGCGCTTTACGTGTTTGATTAATTTTGTGGGTGGGGTTTCCTCTTAAAAAACCCAACAAAATGCTCAGAAACAGGTTAATGTTACTCTTCAGTATTTTGTACCTCATCAGAAATGACTTGAGTGTCACAGCATATCAGCATCTAATGGAATACTCCAGAGTTTTGGAGCAAATCTGTTTTGTACGCTCCATTACCGTGGAAAAATCATTTTGACACATTTCCCTGAAGCAGCTGGCCACTGGCTTCAGCTGTGAGTTTTGGGTCAGCACTTTTTTTTGTTTTACTGGGCTGAAAAAACACTGGAGTATTCCTTCAAGGTTATATACTTATATGATTGTCAGTATATATTTCGGAAGCGGTCACAGGCTGCTGTGGGTTACAGGGTGAGTTGGCGTATATAGAAGGTGCAGGACGGTATAGATGGCGACTCTTTATTTTGTTTTATTATGTTGAACACTGGCAGCCAAAAATTTGATTCAAATGCAGTGATGTTTACTGGCTGTTTTTTTCTGTTCAGTTCTGTTCATCCAGCTGTCACAATCCAGATGATGGAAATAGAATTATAACATGAGCTGATTGATAAAAATCATTCTTAAGTACAGCTGAACCATTGATATATGAATCAGTGGGCTGCACACATTTCTATATTTATGCTACACGCTTGTCCATGCTAGCAAGTTCTTGAATTTTTAACAACAATATTTTTAACAAGTTCGACAGAAATGCGCTTGCATAAGTACATTAGGATGGAGTCACAAGAGAAAATAGTGTGGCAAAGTTAACGAGTCCTTGTTAAAATGAATATTAAAATGGACTTTTACCTCTGATGCCACATAATAAAGTAAGGAAATGTAGCGATCACTGCAAAAAAGTACATTTGAGCGATTTTTTGGCTACCAGTCTAATTTGGATAATATTTTTTTCTTTTAGATCCACCACAAGGCCTCAGACCCCATTTCTGTCCCTGTCCTGTGAGCCCTTTTTCAGCATCAGACGGGATGGCTTAATACCCAATGCTCAGTCGCGCTACAGAAAAATTCACTGTGATCAGACAAGAAAAACAAAACTATTTGATGTCAAAGTTATAGAAGAGGCAAGATCATTCAGTTCTCATTTGAACCATCTGCCGTTACACTAACAGATTCATTTTACACTCATGCACTGTAACACCAGAGTGGGAGCATGGCAGGAAACTTTAGCGTACCGAAGCTAACCAGTATACATTTCAGTGTTAGCAAAGATGTTCTCACTAGCTAGGTGGATAGAGGAGGGAAAAATACCTCTGCACACTTTTCCACATGCACAATCCATTATTTTACATCGCTCAGTGTTACCTTCCTGCCATTTTTGAACGTTATCCTCCGCGTTTTGTGCGCTGGCTTATGTGTAGTGTCAACGCTAATAGATTTACTATGGTGCTGAAGGTATATGAACATATACTGCTATTTGTAAATCGTTGAGACTTGGATGTAAGTTTTTGCACTGTCTTACATTTTATGGTGAATCAACGTTTTTAGCTGTGTGCAATTTTCTCTCTCAACAAAACAGCTACAGGCGGCGAATGTGAGGGTGATGCTAATGTGCATGAGCTAGGAAGAGTCCAAAAGGATGACTTATTTTAAATTATTTGCATTTATGTATATAATGCACAGTACAGTGTTTGAATGACGTGTGTGTTTATGAATTGCTTTAGCGCTAAACGATGTCACCACCTTTCGACTGCAAAACCAAGTTGGTCCAATCATACAGTGCCCTCTACTGTGCGTTAGCGTGAAGTGAACCTACTTTTTTGAGTTTTCTTTCTCACAAGGTCCTGTCACATGTCTGTCGATCCACCTTTTGGCTAAAGAGAGTGAGCGTGTACCTGATTATCCACTTCCGTTTTCTTTTTATTATGTTATACATGCAACAAACTTTCCTATTGACTGCTCACCTTCAAAGATGTCAATGTAATGTTATACTTAAAGAAATTAACAGAAAACTAATATATATACACACATATATCCCAATTTTTCTTTATGTTTTTAGATTTTTTTTCTTCTTCTTTGAAAAGGACTGTGTACTTCGCCTTTACTCTACATGGATGAATGTTGGGGTGGATCTCTCGGGACGTTTCCTATCAGCGTCAAAGGGAACTTTGTTAGATTGTTCCCTAGAAAGACACTTATTGTGTCTGTTTTACATGGTGCTTCTCACCTACTGGCACGCCTACATGACGGGCCATAGGTGCGTATTGAGGAAATGTAGTGTATCATGTCCCATGGTGTTATGAAAACTGAGTTAAAGGAACAGCTTGACCAAACATGCTAATGTGGCTAACAGCGAATGGAAAATTATAGCCTTTCAGCATCACATCATGTGCATAATGCTCAGCCCACAAATGCGTTCTTTATTATGTATGCGTGTGAGCCCTACTGAAAAAAAAGCACAAACCAGAATGGACTGGTCTATACTGGTTTATGCTGGTCTTGTGCTTGACTGATTTTGGTTTAGCTGGGAAAGATTGCCAGATCATAGTATTTTTTGTTCTGAGGTAACATTAGCATGGTGGCTAATTCATCAATGCCTAGTTCTGTTTAGGTACGACAGTCGTAGCATTTAAAACTTGAAACTCTGATCATAAACAAAGAATGCTACAGTTTCTCACAGGTTGAATGGGATTTTTGTAAAGCTTACCCAAATTAGCAACATTAGCTATGAAAGAACGCGTTTGTAGGAGTAGCAACATTAGCTCCAATGGTGGCTGTTTGTTTCCACTCAGTGTTAGCAATAGCAACATTAGCTTTTTTGACTGAACTACTCCTTTGAGATGCCTTCACCCTCTATTGAGATCCATCATCGTTCCCTTTTGCTATTTTTGGTCTTGTTTTTGCGCACTCCTGGCCACCATTGTCCTCTGCCGATGTTGTTATTGTCCTTTTCTTTGGGATTTTATTATTTCTTTCTCTGTGTGTATATGACTAATGAAATGTGTGGGTATAGAGAGGAGAGTTTGGGGTAAATTTGAGTGCTTAGCTGATGTGATGTGCGAACCTAGAGAGGGAGGGTAATTTAAAACATATAATGACACGTACTGATAAATGAAAACTAAAGTAAAAAAAAAATATATGTGCTTGTATTTTTATCTCATATTATTAGAACAGTCGTTCACTTTATTATATTGTCGAAAATAAAGGGGGTGGACCATCAGACGAGGAGACGGCGAATCCGCTCCGTTCCTCCGTTTGGTTTTGGCGCCCTGAAACTATGGCAGCTTTTGAAACGTAGGGGTTTACCTTTTAGGGGGAATCCTCTTCAACGAGTACACCCCCTTCACAAAAAAATGACAAAAAAGTACAAATAGAATATATTTAAAAAATTGAATGGTGTATCTGATATCTATGGTGATTGTGCCTTTCACTATTCTGCATGGTTTTTGTGATTTGCTGACGTTTTGATCCCCTCTGTGTGGGCAGTGGTCCAGAAGCAGTAGTAGAGACCTATGCAAAAATACCAGGATGGGGTTCCAGCATCCATTCAGAAATGCAGGTACCAGACAAAAAAAGAATAAAAGAAAAAACTCTCAGGATGAAAAGCAAATCTTGTCTCCTTTTTTCCACATGAGATCAGATGTGTGTATACAAGCACAAACACACAGCGCTGTGCAAAAGGCCATCTGAGAATTTTTTAATAGTTTAATAATTTGATAATAAATAAATTTAATAATAATAATTTTATTGTACACTCTCAGAAGAAATGGTACTAAGCTGTCACTGGGGCAGTACCCCTCTTGTCACTGGGGTGGTACCCTCAAGGGTACATCTACCCTTTACCTTTACATACCTTTAGTCAGGGAACATAATTGTATTAAAATCCATTGAAATGATATTTTCTAAGTTGTATTGACTCCACACACCTCGTCTCGTCTCCAGGCTTTTTATTTTATTGTTCTGTTTTAAAACATTCGTTTATGAAAAGGTACAAATATGTACTTTTCATTTGGAAAAACTTATTTAAGGTGCACAATTGGACCTTAAAACTACTGTTGTACTTTTGAGGGTACATTTACATTGTTTGTACCTTGATGAACCAAAAATGTACCATTTCTAACAGTGTAAAAAAGCACTATATAACATTAAAATAAATCTAATAAACATGGATTTAGTGAAAGAGCAGGTGCTTTTTTGAGCAAGTAAACATTTACTGTCCATATAAATAGCTTTAAATATAAGGAACCTGTTAGAACACACCTACATGGCACAATTATTGAAATTGTATCAGTAATGAAATTAGGAGAACTAAGAACTAGTTTTGGTAAACATAATTGGCATAATCGTTTTAGAACTGCATGTACACTTTTTAAAAAGATGGTTCTTCAAAGGTAAATAAAATGGTAAATGTAGAACCATGAGCACTCAAAGAACCCTTTGTATGACTAAATGGTTCTTTGTATGGTGAAATCGTTCTTCAGATTGATGGAGAATGTGCTGTAGATGGTTCTATATAGAACCTTTTTGAGAAGGATTATAAATAGCACCAAAAAGGGTTCGTCTATTGTTACAAGCTTGACATCATAACAAAAGACCCTTTTTGGTGCTATATAGAACCATAAGTAACATATTATCCATCAACCTGAAGAAGCCTTTCATGATGCAAAGAACCATTTAATTGTACAAAGGATTTTGAAATTTTCATGGTTCTACATAGAATCATTTTCTTTAGTAAAGAACTCTTGAAGACATATCTTTTTTAAGTGTGTAGGTTGTAGGTCTTATTGTTAATTATGTTACTTAGCAGACCTGTTTAACCTCTAAAACAACACCTATCTAATTACATTTAATAGCTGCATACCTGTACATAAGTGTCTATTACACTAAAGCTGTGGTTCATTCAAGCTGATGGAGGTATGTGTATCTGTGGTGATGGGTCATTCTCTGAATAGCAACCAACACGAAACACGAGTTGCCTCAGAGCTGTTTTACTTGACTATACAATAAAACCTGTTTGGCTGCTTTCTTAAAAGCGTCAGGTATTTAGGGCACTTAGGTTGTGTCTCAAATCAACCTGTAGTCCCCTAGGGAATTCTGACTCTGAACATTTCTGGGAAAATGGTGATGTCACATGTAGACAAAAAAACTTTGATAGCCTAGCAGTGAGCTAGCAATAAGCTAAAACAGACTTACCACTTCAGAACATTTGAAAGTGTTATGTTAGAGCGCTATGCCAAAATGTACCTCGTTTATTTCTTTCTTTTTTATTTTGCAGTGTATTTTGGGATACATGGGATCAGTTAGGGCACTCATTTGTGTTCTTTGCTGCATCTAAAACCACATACTATACTATACTTACTATATTAGTGAATGTGTTACTTATAGTTTGTGGAGAAGAACTCGAGCAAATTGAAAAGCGGTCACTACAGTGGAAAAACGAGAAATGGTAGTATGTTGTTCTTGGGAAATTTACTGTACAATAGACAGAAAAGGCTGGATAAGTAAAAATTATACTTTAATAGCAAATCCAAACTAATTATAAGCGGTCTTACAGTGGGTGAGATATAAATATAAATTCAGCGAGGCATGTCACTAAAAAATATAGGCAAAAATATATTACACTAAAGCATTTCATGTCCATTTCATATTAGAACCCCAAAAGGGTTCTTCTACTGTAACAAGCTTGACATCGTAACAATAGAAGAACTCTTCTTTTTGGTGCTATATGGAACCCTTTTCAAATAAGTCTATATAGAACCATCTACAGCACATTCTCTATCAGTTTGAAGAACCTTTTAATGGTGCAACTAACCCTTTAAACATGCAAAGGGATCTTTGGGTGTTCATAGTTCTATATAGAACCGCCTTCTTTACGAAAGTACCCTTGAAGAATCATTAATTAAGAGTGTGCGTCTCTAGCCCTTGCAGGCACACTACACAGGGAGCGAGTGGATTTGGAGCGCGGTCATCGCGGATGCGAGGCTGGAGGGACACCTGCGCCTTTAAAAGGCCACATACAGCGATGATGTCAGCTGATCCCTTTAGGATCTCACTGATTTCCGCACACTACGGGTCTCTGCAGGACGTTTCCGCACATTTTCTTTCGACCGTGGGGTGATTTGGTGTGCGTTTGGACGCGCCTGGATCAGGTGTGGAGCGATGATGGACACGGATGTCTGTAGTGCGTCATGAAGGCAGCACACACAGGCCGCGCTGGTGTCGTCTGTTTGGGTTTATTAGCTCGTCTTGTTGGAAACGTGACTGATGCAGACTGATTTTTTTATTTGTTATGTGAATAATCTTATTTTGCAGCTGGGATTTTGCACTTCGGCTGGGAAGCACTGCTGAGCTGGGACCATTTCCTTTAATCGTGGGCTGTTATAGTCAAATCAGCTGGATTAAAGCTTCTGTTTTTACCTTCTCTTCCACAGTGGGTGAATGCATTTAGTGCAATAGGCCTCTGCTGTCACGCCTGGTGTGATCTGGAGCCCCTTCTGGTGCTGTAAACACTGCTTTAGCTATAGGCTGTCTGGGGAAATTAGGTTTTCCATTTGCTTGTGTTCCCCCCCCTCCCTAATAGAACACTGTACTAGATACATTTCTGAAGGGTTGTGCTGGCTCCATAGTGAGCTGGACCTCCTGGCCTGACCATGTTCGCTCCTGATGCGGCAGCTGGAGCTGGGTACTCCTCGGGCACCATGGCGGAGAAGGATGCCAGTCAGGAGACCACCCTGGGAAGTGCGTACTCGCCGGTGGACTACATGAGCATCACCAGCTTTCCCCGCTTACCTGAGGATGACGCCATTTCCGGCGAGAACACCCTGAAGTCCCGCCGAGACGATGATAACTTCCTGAGCGAGCAGGACACAGGTAGGGTCTGTCCCAAATGTCAGTGTAAGCCACAGAGCTTGAGGAGAATTAGCACTCTTTAATGTCTTCCAGGTTTCTCGAACGCTAGAGGGCGCTCCGGAGCGAGTCCAGAATTTGAGCGTTAAGGCAACATCATAGTTTGTAAATGTTTAAACGTTTTTAATATAAAAGAGTACATTCGTTTTCTGAACACAGAGCAGCATAAAACATTTTACCACTGCTGTTATATTTTTAAGAGCTTTTAAACTCGGCACCTCATACGTTTATGATGTCAGTGAGCACGGACAGCCAATGAACTGCTCCGCTCACCAACCAATCAGCACTCAGTAGCAGTAACGCTAACCAATCAGCACTCAGTAGCAGTAATGCTAACAAATCACCACTCAGTAGCAGTAATGCTAACCAATTAGCACTCAGTAGCAGTAATGCTAGCTCCCTGCTGCCCAAAACCCGTTCGCTGTAGAAAAAAGGAAACATACACGTAAATTTTCTTTGCTTTTTTTTTAGTGAAATAAGTCCTTTTACTTTCCTTTCCAATGTTAAAGGAAAGTTCTGGGCAAGTGTTAAGAAACTTATTTTACTTTTCATTTTTAGCCGTTTAGCTCCATTCACCCCCATTTATTGAGGACCCGCTTATGGGCGCCCTCTGGCGTTTTGCAGTCCTGTTTTTGATATGAGGGAAATAGAAAAAAGCATGATATTTGAGAGGGACTCCTGTGACATACTGGGTTATGTTACCGATTATACTCATTTTTTTAGTCATGTTAGCTAATTTATATACCCACAGCGACTCAGTGACTCAATAATAAGTAAGGGTGTAACAATGCACTCAGCGCACAACTCGATTATTAATATAATTATCATGCTTGTTGTATTGAAATTCTGCAAGTACTCTAATTCTCTTTTACGATTTTTATTTTTTGTTTGGAAACAAAGGGGTTAACGCCCAACAGAAATGAACCAATCAGGTTTCTTTCTCTGTGGTATTTAAGTAGATACAGCCAAGCAAGGTCTCCCTTTGGTTAGGACTTTAGGAGCTGAACAGAAGGCCTAACATATCAGATTAACATAGTTGGGGTTACCAGCCTTACTTTGTTCTTTGTGTTCAGCAGAAAGCTGATTTCGGTTCTTTTCTCCTGTCTGTTCACTGTAGTGTTTCATAATTTCTGCATAATTAAATGGTTAAAATGTAAACGGAATCATTCACCTCTAAAAGCTCCCTTGCAGAAAGATATTACCTAAAATGGTTATGAATACACTGCCTGATGTCTGAGAGGCAAAACAGTCCCAAAAGAAAACTTATCTTTCAGATTTACCATCACACATAAAACTCAGAAGACATGTGTAGGTTCACTGGTGGTTTTGGGTAGTAAACAAAATGGCTATATTTGTGTGTACACATTGCAATGCCTAGTTCCTATCACCACCACTGTGAAGAAATCTTGAACCATCAATGAACCATTTCACATCAAACCACTCTGATTTTGTTTACCCAATCACTGAATTATGCAAAAATTTTGAAAAATTGGCAAAATTTCCCTTCAAACATGCTGGATCATCCTTAATGTCGCATGATTAAAGACCACCCTGTGGTATTTTGACCAAAATTATTTGAGTTTATTGGGTTTTTCATATGCTTTCATATGTAAATATTTAGCACCGATTGCTCATGACATAATGAAGCCTGAACCCAGAATAAAAATTGTTTGGTATGTTTTTTTTAGTTTTTTAGGTTTTTCGTAGTGAATCACCTTTGACATCACAGTTTAGTCCGAGATTAGGCCTTCATTCATCCAAACACCCACTCATCTGAAACATCAGTGGCTTGTCAGCACGCTCACAAAGAGTGTGATTTAGTTAGAGGCACATTTGCATAATGAAGGCTCAGGCAGTAGCAGTCTTGCCCAGGCATGTATTATAACGATTTTCAAAATGTTAAAGGGGAACTCCACCGATATTTCAAAAATTCTACATAATTAAATGGTTGAGATATAAACAAAGTCATTCAGAGTGGTTTGGTGTGAAATGCTCCATTCTGTAGAAACTTGCTGAGTCAGAATAGTTCACAGTGGTGGTGATAAGAACCAGACGTCTGAAGTGTGCAATGCCTCTGAACGCCCTCTCACAGAAAGTTATTGCATGAAATGGTTAGACACATGCTGCCTGATGTCTAAGACATTGTTTCATGATAGTTCTGTGGTAGTTTTGGCTTAAAATGTAATTAATCCATTTATTTTAATCCATTTATGGTACACACAATCCCCAAAGAAAACGAATTGTTTTTAGGTTTGTGACTATTTTACCATCATCAACATTCCATATAAAAACTCAGAAGACACGTGTAGGTTCACTAGTGGTTTTTGATAGTAAATAAAACGGCTATATTTGTGTTGTAGTCGTTGCAACCACCTGGTTCCTATCACTACCTCTGTAAACAAATCTGAACCATTTCACACCAAACCACTCTGAATCACCCCGTTTACATCACAAGGACTGAATCGTTGAGAAATTTGGAAAAATTAGTGTAATTCCCCTTTAAATGCAGTCCCAAAAATCATTTATGGAAATCTTTTAACAGATATTTACTTCATAACAGCAGTAAGATCATTTAAAATCTTATTTCATCATCTTTTGTTCATCTGACAACTGCATAACCTGAAAACCTTGAGATCCTCTTAATGTCCTAAGAGCAGGTTTCCCAATCATGGCTTTACATTGCTTCTGCACTGCACTTTGATGCCAGTAGTGATTCAGTGCTGATAGTCCTGTTTAATTCTAGTCTTAGGTTTAATCTCATTGTGGGAGACCCACCCTAAATGTTTACAAATTGAATCATATGAAAAATCCATACAGTCTGGCTATAGTGCTTTACTGTGGAACAAAAGCAGAGACTTTCTGATGCAGGTTGTCCTGGCAGAATAAACTGTAGACCAGGTTGTCCTAGTCTACATGAAAGTGTATAGAAAAAAACATATTTGCATTAGGTGGGACCGCTTATCTGAGGTGATAGGAACCCGACATCCACCTCTAAAAGCTCCCTTGCAGAAAGTTATTACATGAAATGGTTATGAATACACTGCTGATGTCTGAGACATTGTTTTATAATACTTTTGGTTTTGGGTTTTGGCCTGAACATTTTTTAAGGTGTCAGTACTGATTCTTAAAAAATGTAACAATACCCAGCCCTATTCATGACGGATAATTCAGAAAAAAGCACCAGAAGCATTTTAAATCTGCATACAGCATCATACATTTATGATTAATTATGGGGAAAATGAAATTGTGCACAGTTGTTCAAATCCAACTCTGTAGCATGTTGTGGCTTTAATAACGGTTGCAGGGCTGTTCTCATCCATGACACTGACTAGAAAGTAGAAAGCAGAGCATGATCGATCTGTACACTGGTAGTAAATTTGTTTCTGAAAAATTATCATGTTTTATTTGTTAGTATGCAGTTACTTGATATGTTACATAGAAATAAATAGGCCAGATTTTAGTTGGTCAGTGCCTTATAACGACAATTTAAAGGGGAATTCCATTGATTTTTTTTTTTATAGTGTAATTAAATTGTTAAGATGTACACAGTCATTCAGAAGGGTTTGATGTAAAATGCTTCAATGTAGAGACACTTACCAACTCATCCAGGCTGATTTCTTTACTGTGGTGGTGCTAGGAACCAGGGGTCACCCATGTCTAGACAAATGTAGCCATTTTATTTACTATCCAAAACCACCAGTGAACCTACACATGAGTTTTACATAAAATATTGATGATAAACTATTTTACCCTAACACAGAGCTCATACCTCTTAAAAATGAATAATAAATTTAAAAAAAATGAATAAAACATTTAGACTGAAATCTTCTCAAAACTATCATAAAACAGTGTCTCAGACATCAGGCAGTGTATTCATAACCATTTCATGTAGTAACTTTATGTGAGGGAGCTTTTAGAGGTGGACGTCTGATTCCTATCACCACCACTGTGAACAGTTTTGACTGGGTCAGTTTCTCTAGAGCTGAGCATTTCACACCAAACCACTCTGAATTACTTTCTTCAGATTGTGACTATGTAATTATGCACGTTTTGGAAAAAGGTGTGAATTTCCCCTTAAGTAATAAATAAGTAATAAGTAAATAAATTCACCTGTATGTCCTCAGACCCTGACCTGTTCCTGAAGTCTGCACGCCTGCAGCGTCTGGCCTCCTCGGCCTCGGACCTGGCCAGTCAGGACCTTTCTCCGCTGAGGGAGACACGGCAAGATCCATTCGGTCAGGAGTGCGCCTGCACGCGGGACGGCCTGACTGTCATCATCACGGCCTGCCTGACCTTTGCCACAGGGGTCACCGTTGCTCTCATCATGCAGATCTACTTCGGGGACCCTCAGGTGCTCTGAATGGAGCATGAAAAATTCTGTGATTCTCTTTGTTTAATATAATGTTAACTAGGAGTGTATAATTGTGTTTAAAGGGCTCATATCGCAATGAGTTTAATGTGGTATGTAAACACTGTTGAAGTTTCAAAATGTGTCATTCCCTTTCTTGTCTGTACAGTCTACATAACAGCCCACTTTGAATTCATTTTTTGTGATATAACGTAAATTATATTTTATGATATATCCGCCTATTCTGCCTTTATCATTTAGCTCTGACCATTCGCACAGAAGTTATATGGAGTGTTTTAGCCTGGACTGCACAATACAGGGCAACCAATCAAAACAGAGATCATGTACATATATCAGTCTTAAAGGCACAGTAACAAAAACAGCCTGTTTAATTGTAAGGGATAAAATGAGGCCAGAAAATGATCATGTAAAAATGAATCATGATAGTTTTTGTATATAAGACCACACAAATGTCATAAATGTGATACATTGATCTGGAGATGAGAAGAGCATTGATTTTTTTAAAATAATGTAATAATGATTTTGTATTGTTTTGATTAGGTATGCAGTCATACTTTGGCCAAAAAAAATCAAGCTATTTCCAATCTCAAGAGTCAAAAATAAAAGCTTGGTATTAGTTTTATTGTCTATATTGTGCTACTGGTGAAACGAGATTTCTTGATGCACTGAATCACCTCCACAAAAACTGTAATCAAATTAAGTTGTGAAGTCAGAGGATTTACAACCGTTAGTGCTAACCGGAGAAAACTAGCTTGTATAAATGGCAGGTATTCCTGTGGAACAGCTAGAAATATTTTTTCAAAAGGCATAAAATAACTCCTCTATCAGCTGTGATGTTACTTTAATGCATGTCTGATTTATGTTTTGTGCAGTGAACCCCTAAAACTGCAAACTTATTATTCAGTTGTTAATATTAGGGCTTTTTAGTCAATAAGTACTTTGCATTATTCAGTATCTACTATGAATTACCAAATATTGATTATGAATATTTAGTGCTATTTAATATTATTATTATTATTATACCTAACTGTAGTATAAAAGAAACTGTAACTAATAGGTAGATACAAATTATATTGTCTCCAAAACATTCATCACTTTTCATTTCTACTTTACCGCTTCAGTGGTTCTGTGATCTATAAACAGTGTCTTCAGTGTCTGGTTGTTCTCTCAGATATTTAACCAGGGCGCTGTGGTGACAGACGTGGCACGCTGTACATCTCTGGGCTTTGACGTGCTCGGACAACAGGGCTCCAGTGTGGATGCTGCTATAGCTGCTGCCCTCTGCCTGGGCATTATTCACCCCCACGCCTCGGGAATCGGAGGGTATGTGGAATAAAAGGGAGCTATGAAATGTACATAGTTGGTAATAACAGTCAAAGCTACTGTTGGCACAGCACTGACAGATAGCTCGGCAGACCGGGGAAAGAGTAGGGGGTTTTGTTGCTTGAGATCAAAATAAAATGCTATTTCGTTTCTGGCTGTGCAGTGGTGGCGTCATGCTGGTCCACGACATTCGGAAAAACGAGAGCCGAGTCATTGACTTTCGTGAAACGGTGCCCTCTGGCCTCCGGGAGGAGATGCTGCTGAACCTAGAGCAGAAGGTAAAGTAGACTTACTGTTAAAATGTGCCTATTTAGTGCAAGTAAAAGTGTAGTTTTTAAGATACTGCTGCTAAAAGAAAGAAAGAAGGCTAGTGTCCTTTCAAGCTACCTGCAGTTACTTATTAATAATTACCTGGGCTAGCAAGTGCTCCTTTGCAGTGGTGAGGTCAGGTCTGAAGTTGTGGGGGTTTTCTGTGGTTAGCTGATCAGGGTTAGCAGTACTTTCCAAGGTAGAACATAGAAATGTAACTAAAACACTGAGTTAGATATTTAAATACTTCTAACTTATTAGCAGTCATGATATAATTTCATTTAAAATATTTGTAGACTTCAAAGGTTTTTTTCTGTTAATATTTGTTATGGGGCAAATTCAGTTATTGGTAGCTAGCATTAACATTAACTCACCAGAATCTGTGTGGTGAATTCATTTTCAATTTCATACATAATGAACACTTTAGTTTCTCAGTGTGTCACAGCACTATGATGTAGCATTTTACCATTACTGCATTAAATTAAAGCCATATCAAGATCACAGAAAGCCACAGTAGAAGCACATACAGCTTTAAATGTACACAGAGAGAGGCAGCCAGTCTTTTAGATGAACACACAAATGTTAATAGTGAGCTATGATAAGTTTCATTTTGTTAAATTTATACAAGTAGAGTAAAAAGGAAATTTACGTTTAATGGTGCTCTCACTGTGACAATTTGTGCAGTATCTGTTATATGTGACCCAATGCTGATGTGGCACGACCCAGCTGGTGTGGCCTTTAGATAACCACAGTGATGTGGTATTTCCTGTTCATGGGGTGGGTGTCTAAACCACTGTGCCATTTAGGTGCTTACTGAAACAAAAAATTTATCTTGTAAATCTTATGGTATGATGAATTGTGAAGAACATAATCAAAGACCTGAAACATTTAGATAAATTCATTTCTGGGGGAACAGAGCTCAATTTAGGTTGCCTTAAAATAGCAGTCTGTGAAATACTTTAAATGACACCGGTACTTAATCTGTGGCTCCTGTTACAACAAACGTGCATCACCATGATAAACTTTTTATGGAATTGCATATTCATTATTGTAGGACTATGTAACACAGCTGTTCAGGGAATCAGCCTTAAATTGCACAGAAATATATCGCTGTTGTCAAAAGAAAACCTTATATCTTCAAAGTGGTAACTTTACTGGAGAAGTAGAAAACCTACTTTACTTTTAATGTAAGTCAATGTAACCAGACTTTTTTCCACTTAATTTGGGGTCATTTCTTTTAGCCCATTCATCATGAACTGTATATACAGTGTAAAGTGTAACAGGTATTTTCAAATTAAGTCAAAAACTGAAAAACCTCAAAAATGGAGATGCGAGTTTTTTTCCGACAACAGTGTTATACTTGTTTTTTAGTAGTTTGTTTGTTGTTGTTGTTGTTGTTGTTCTTTTTCTTCTTCTTCTTCTTCTTCTTTATTATTATTATTATTTTGCACTTTGCACAATAGTAAATGGCAACTATTTAAATGGTAGTTTATATGGTCATTTTTAATTTTTACTGTTTGCCTAAAGGAGAGGTTATAGTGATGCTCATAGAACAGTAGTAAAATGCATATTGAATTTTGTCACTGTCCAAAAAAAACATGTATCTCTGTTTTTTTCCACTTCTATTTTTCTACATCATTCTGAACACAAAGGCTGCACTTTGTTGTGTGAAAATTTCATGATGAATGGACCAATAGAAATACTCCAAAAATCCTTGGAATAAAATCTCTTTACGTTAATTTTCATTAAGAGTAAAGAATGTTTTTGCCCTTTTCTGTAAACTTGCCATTTTTGAGATACTTGTGTTTGTTTTGGACAGCGATGATACGCAGAACATTGACATAGCAGTTATCTACTGTTGAATATCTTCTCATACTATCATCACAATATCCTATAACCATATCATAAGTCTTGTTTTAACATTCATATCGTCCAGCCTTAGTGTACGGAGTGTAAACTTTTATTGCATGGACTACATCTGTGGTTCTTTGGAACTGAACTGAATGAAATTTGACTTTTAATAGCTCTTCTGATAAGCATGTCCCTGAGCTGTTCATGTTGAACCTGTTTAATGTTGTGTCTGTTTAATGATCTGTGTCTTTGTGTTTGTTTTTCCTTCAGCCTGGTCTGCTGGTAGCTGTTCCGGGCATGCTCAGTGGACTCCATCAGGCTCACCAGCTCTATGGAAAGTACGTTCAAGGTCACTGGTTCAATTTCTTTAGTCGTGTTACACATATCATTGAAATAAGAGTGTTTTGATGTAGTATGTAAACATAATTTAGAGTTTCAAAATGTACATTCACTCTATAGTACACACCGTCCATTTATGCAAAATAAGCTGCAGGAACAGCCTGGTTCAGCTCACGCTGAAGTTATAAGGAGTGTTACAGCTCAGGCTACTTTTTGAATGAGGCACAATACAGTACAGCCAATCAGAGCAGAGATCATCTGCATACATCAGTCCTAAAGGCACACTCCCTGTTTAATTCTCAGGGGTTTAAAATGGTAAAAACTATGACTGTTTATTGATACTTAAAACCACACAAAAGTCATAACATGCAAGAAAAATGTGGAAAATAGGCCCTTTAATAGTAAAAGATGCACATACACATGTTTTTGCCAGGAATACTCGTCTTTAAATCATAGTGTTAATAGTTTATATACTTTTTTCATGGTATCACATAATCTATTGCATTACTGTTCTATTGTTTTTGCAAAAATAAAGAAAGAGATCAAGCTAAAAAACCCCAAACAATCTTTCAAATATATGCTTTAAATATTTCCAGTTTCTTCTGCCAAAATGAGTAGTTAGAGTAGCAGCTTAGAGTAATGCGACCACTGATGTTGTTTATCAGCCGGTGGTCAGTGGAATGATGTTATATTTAGCAACATGGATAGAATACTTTTCAACAGTCAGATTGTGTGATCTCTAATAATTAATCAAAAATTATTTTATGTAAAGCCACATGCTGCACGTCTTCCAAATGATGCATATCTGCTCAGTTATATTCTTCCATAGATATGAATATCCACAGTGATTAATTATGTGTAATTGTGCTAGCAAACGCAAAACGTAGAAATGATATAGAAATAGAAGAAATGATTGTTCTTTTTAAATAAATAATGCTACATAAAAACAGCCAGTAACTGACTTCCTGTATGATACAAGGAGCTTTTCTGTCTGAGTGCATTAAAATAAAAGTGGAATCAGATTTGCAGTAATGCTGTGTTTCTCTTTTTGCAGAAGGCCATGGAAAGAGGTCATCGCCATGGCCGCAGATGTGGCCAGGAATGGATTCAACATTACTCATGACCTGGGTGAGTAGCTCACACACACATACATAAAGACTTAGGCTGCACAGTATGGATAAAACGATAATATTGCCATTGAATACGCTGTAAATTGTGATTGTGGTAGACCTTGCAGTGCATTAAAACACTCTCTTAAATCAATGAGTGAGTTTACATGTACTTAATAATCTGATTACTGCAGAAAATCAGATTTTGTCAATAATTCGTTCAGCGTGTTTACATGCATTTACATACGTGAGTCAGTCAATAATCAGACTTCTGCCGTGCAACCGGCCAATAAACTCTCGGAAGAAGACGTTATGCAAGCGTACCGTAAAACTCAAAGGTAATGCTTTTTTTATTTGCGCCACTTTACCTGAAAATATGAACATATATCATCTAGAAGATGAAGAATATTTAAATCCTTTATTTCGTCAAGCATGTAGTCGGTTTCAGCATCACTCTAAAAGCGTTTTGTTGTATCTCGCGGGTGCTGTGTTAAAAGCTGCTTGCTGTTTCCGGTAAGACTGTCCATTTCAGCACATGCACAAACTGAGAAAACTGAAAGAAATCGGAGTAAGCGTTAACATGCGCTGAGAAATCTAATTACTGAGCTAAAATCCAGTGTCTTTATCAGATTTCTGAATCGGATTTCTAGACCTTAATCCAATCTAAGAAATCGTAGTATGCTGTTGATTAATCAGAAAACTGCAGAAATCTGATTATGATCAGATTATTTAGTGCATGTAAATGTACTCAATTAATGTGACTATTGCTGAAAGATTGTTTTTAAAACATCTATATTCATATTGAATAATACTGTGTAAACGTCTACAAAAAAATCTTTCTTGTGAATAGTTTATCATGTTTTAATTCACATTGTACTTGTACTGTTATTATTGTATATAAAATAACCAAAAATATGAATATGACAAACGGTTGCAAGCATTTGAGTGCTAGTGTATGTCAGAGTTTGCTGGAAATTTGGCTTGTGTTCATTTTAGTCTGTTTAAAATTGTACTACTACACTCTTGTTGTATTTCTGCCTGTAGCGGATGCACTGTCTAAAATAAAAGACCAGAATGTTTCGGAGGCTTTCCACGAGCTGTTCCTGCCCGATGGTCAGCCTCCTCTCTCGGGCCTCTTCACCAGACGCCTCGACCTTGCGCTCATTTTGGACAGGGTCGCCGCTAATGGGATCGCTGAGTTTTACAGCGGAAACCTGAGTCAGGAAATGGCATCTGCGGTACAGCTGACCTTTACTAACATTTGATCTATGCAACTCAGCAAAACGTCTCTATCGTAGATGCAGTTGCATATTATTTGGATCATTTTAAAGGGGAATTGCAGTGATTTTTCAAAATTGCTGTATAAATAAGTGGTCAAGATGTAAACACAGTCATACAGAGTGGTTTGGTGTGAAATGCTTTGTTCTAGAGAAACTACAGAGTCAGAATTGTTCACAGTGGTGGTGATAGGAACCAGACGTCCACCTCTAAAAACTCCTTCACAGGAAGTTATTACATGAAATGGTTACATATAAACCGCCTGATGTCTGACACATTGTTTTACGATAGTTTTGTGGCAAAGTGTTGTGTTAAATTGATTAAAATACAGCTTAATTCAGTCCTTTCAAGACAGAGTTGTACATGCCGGTTGTCGTATCATATATAAAACTCAGAAGACGCGTGTACGTTCACTGGTAGCTTTGGACAGTAAATACTATGTCTATATTTGTGTTGTAGTCATAGTGACCCTTGGTTCCCATCACCACCACTGTAAAGAAATCTCAGTCCGTAAGTTTCTTTGCAGGGAACCATTTCACAGCAAACCGCTCTGAATTCAATCTTATTAATTGAATTATACAGAATAATTGAAAAATGTCAGATTCCCCTTTAAGACTTGAAATGTACAGTTATTATCAGATGTTTTTATACTGTTGGTAATAATCATAGTTATTTACATAGTTACATGTGTATCAGTGCTGAGCCATTGCCTTGATAGTAGTGTATGTGTTTGTGCTACAGGTTTATTCCAGTGGTGGAGTCCTGACTGAGGAGGATTTTAGTAATTACACTACAGTCCTACAGCAGCCAGTACAGAGCCTCTACCAGGGTAAATATACTTAACTCTTTATGCTGGATATGTTTTGGTATTAACAGAATAGTGATTTAAATAGTAAATTTCACTACATTTCAAAAGAAAAACCTGTACTTTTCACTCACTACATTTTCAAAACAGGCTCTTTAGTTTTAATGATCTATTTATCTCTTTTATCTCTACATATTTATGGTTTTTTTTTTTTGTTAATTGGGCAACTGTATTAGGGCACCTAATAAAAGACAAAATCGGCTCCCTACTGGATGTGAAGCATGGAAGCAGAGTGAACCCATGATTGACTATTTTCACAACTTATAGGCCGCAGCACTATTTTACTATCATCGACACTACATATAAAGACTCAGACACGTGTAGGTTCACTGGTGGTTTTGGATAGTAAATAAAACGGCTATATTTGTGTTGTAGTCATGGAGACCCCTGGTCCCTATCACTACCACTGTAAAGAAATCTGGGTCTCTGCAATCAACCATTTTACACCATTTATATCTCAACCATTTAATTTTGTCAAAATTCTGAAAAATTGGTGGAATTTCCCTTTAAACTGAATATGAACAAACGCAGGGGCATACACATTTTTGCAATAGTAATTGTACAGATATATAGTGGACATATGAGGTGGGTGTTTCTCACGAAATGGCCAGTGAGTGAAAGGACAAAGTACGGGTTTCCACCAAAGTATGAACAGTGAATAAGTTTCAAACTCCTCAACTCAGAAAAGCTTTATGTAAATATTTGTTGCTGTTTTTTGTCTCGTCTCATGAAGGTCACCAGGTAATGGCTGCTCCGCCCCCCCACGCTGGATCTGCTCTCCTGACTGCCCTCAACATCCTGGAAGGCTACAACATCACCAGCCAGGCACAGAAGAACAGCACCCACCACTGGATAGCTGAGGTACTGCAGCCTCACATGCTCACAAGCTTACAGGGCTGTAACTCTCTGACCTTTAGATTTCTATTATTTATTAAATTGTTCAGTGCATCGTATCTCCACTTTCATTTTAGGTGGATTTTATTTATTTTTGTATGATTTACATATAAGATTTACACACTTATTTTTATAAAAAAATGCATTGAATACAAATATGTGATTGAGGAACTATTTACACAGTAATGGAATGTAAATAATAAACAGTAATATATATTATGCTTGTATTGTTCTCCCAAAAATAACAATATGTGAAAGCTGTGCTCTACATTTATGCAATAACATTTGTACAATCCTCAATCACCAAAATAGTCATGGCACATATTTGCCATCTACTGCTCTAAAAATGCCATTCCATTGGTTTAAAAATTGTAGAATTTGAATTTGCTGTTGCTTGTTTCCCTTGTTTTTCATTTAAGACTCTGAAAATTGCCTTGTCACTGGCCAGTGGGCTCGGAGACCCCATGTATGACCCCTCTGTCTCTGAAGTTTTGGCTCAGATGCTAAGGTAAGATTTACTGATTAAATTATACCTCACCATGTTTACTGTGCTTACACAGGCTATTCAATACAAATTCATGACAATGTGAAAACTTTTGTTGATCAGGAGATTGATCAGGATATTAATCCGGAGATTGAGATGTAATGGCATAAATAACACACATAAAATAAGTAAGCAAGTAAAATAAAATGCAGCATACAATGTGGTGTAACGTGGTGTATGCAGGACACTGTAGACAAAAGAAGCCTGTTCATTTACAAAACTTATTTAATGATAAGTGAAAAAAGTAGTTCAGTATTTTTCTGTGACAACAGGACTGTATTGCCCATTGTAGGGAAAATGATAACAGTGTTGTCTTTGCATTTCAGTAAAACCCAGGCTGGTGTGTTCCGGCAGATGATTAATGACTCTTACGCATCTTCTCCTGGACACTACACCCCTGGCTATGCGCTGGAGGAGGGAGCAGTGGCCAGTCAGGTTATGGTCATGGGTCCAGATGACTTCATTGTGTCTGTTATGAGGTAAACAGTGAGGGATTACTCTCTGTACATCTGTTATTACACAGTTATTACTGTCATACTGTAAAAATTACACTTTGTAGATACTGGATTAAAATCACTCCACAATTTATTCCTATCAGACTGTAAAATCTACACATGCTGCAAATTCATACTGGATAGAAAACACTCCACAGTTATTAATGTCAGACTGTAAAACTACACACTGCAGATTCATACTGGATTAAAATCACTCCACAGTTATTACTGTCAGACTGTAAAAGCTACACACTGTAGATTCATGCTGGCTTATAATCTCAGCTAGGGTAGAGCGTTTATTAACTGATGACATCATCATGTCATCTGAACTAACTGTTGTGATAGGATGGAAAAATGTGTTATGATTTCTGATTCTTATGACTTTGAGACCAATACTGATATTTTATGATCTGTTTTTTTTTTCCTCAGCTCTCTGAATCAGCCTTTTGGAAGCCGCATCGTAACTCCCTCTGGAATCCTCCTGAACAGTCAAATTCTGGACTTCTCCTGGCCCAACAAAAGCCACGGATCAGCCCCACCAAACCCGGTACTGAAAAGCCTTCAGCGTTCACGCCTAGTTCTCTGAGAAACCTGCAAGAATAATTCTAAATACATATTTTTTTCCAGATTAATTGATATGACATAAGTGCTGATTGTGCAGAGCAGATTGATGTATGCATTGTTTTTGTTTATTTTGTAAACTATTTGAAATATTTGGTTACCCTCCCTCCTCACCCACCAGCCCTCCTCAGTTTGAGTTCAGATTAACATCTACTGTCATGTGTGCTCCTCTCCAGCGTAACAGTATCAAGCCAGGAAAGAGGCCACTCTCATTTCTGGTGCCCACAGTGGTCAGACCCTCTCTGGGCCTCTGTGGGACTTATGTAGCTCTGGGGTCCTCCAACAGTGACCGGGCCCTCAGCGGCATCACACAGGTTCAGCACCTACACTTACCAGCATGCACTAATTATAATATGTTATTCCTTTAGTGTAAAGCAAACACACACACAATTATTAATAGCTTTATAAATACAGTTATAAATTTATAAGAATATTATTAGCAGTTGTTTTAATGTTGTTATTAAAATGATGATTCAATTATAGTAGCTATTAAATCAAAAATATATTAAAGATTTACTATTGCAAAAGTCTTAAAAGTGGTATTTCTTTGGTATCTCCATAGGTGCTGATGAATGTTTTATCACTGCATAAAAACCTGAGTGACAGCCTGACGTACGGCAGGCTTCACCCTCAGCTGCAGCCCAACACTCTGCTGGTGGACGGTAAGTACTTTCTTTCTTTCTTTCTTTCTTTCTTTCTTTCTTTTCTGCATTATTTTAGTTTCCCTCTCACTAAGGCATTTTGTGTTCACATACATCTAGTTCCCTTGAAATTATAAGGTTCTGTCTGACACTTTTGTCAAAATTAGGTTATTCACGTATTACACACACATTACGTGAGGTGTGAGGTGAACTTCTATGAGGTTCTATCTGCGAGCTTAGAATACACACAAGGGGACCAATCGGGTTCTGTTTCTTTGTCATGTCGCCACACTGCTCAGTGACTGCAGGAAAGGTTTATAACACTTTATGAAACATGAAAACATGTTAGAAATTTTAAGCCCTAAAGGAAATTAAATTGTGTACATTTGAATTAATGTCTTATTTACAATATAAAAATGAATTTTATTCATTCATCCATCTTTTCTTTTTCTTCTTTCTCCCAAAAGAAAGATATTTTGGCTCATTAGAGTCACTTTTCTGATATAAAACAAAATCTCATACTGCCTTTATACTGACCTGCTATACATACCTGTTGGGACAGTTCATCACAGTAGCTGGTTGCTGTCTGACCTAAAGGAAACTTAAATGAATGGCTTCTACCTACAACTGACCTCTGCACTGGACAACATATTTAGCACTGACCTATCAATCTATCAATCAATGCTTGTTTTTAATATGAAAAAGATTATTTGTCCTAGAACAAGAAATAAAATCCTAACAAATAAATAAATAATAAATGTCATAAAAATGTCATAAAAAGCATTAAATTGAACTTTCTGATACAAGTAGACACTCTGTTACAACACTAATTTTATCTTTTAAAATAAATTAAGAGTACACTGTTTTCCTTGAAAAACGGTGCTTCTTTTCATGTATTGCCAGATAGAACCTTATAATTCCACGAGAAAGGAAGTGAGTTCTTAGGATTAGAAGGTTCTATCTGTTCAAAAAACTAATTTACAAATATGACAGGATTCTGATTCTGATAAATTTATGGTGTCTGTCATTTTCATGTATGAGAGAGACGTGTTCCACGTATCAGTTTTGCTATTTGGAATGCAAAATCTTTGAAGCTTAATATCTCAAAACTGCTCAGAACGCAGATAGAACCTTATAATTCTAAAGGGACAATTTCTTTCCTGTATTTCCAAGTTCTAAGCCTCTTCTTACCTGACTTCAGTTAAATGGGAATAAATTGTGTGCTTTTATTGTGTACAAATATAGAACCGTGAACACTCAAAGAACCCTTTGCATGATTAAAGAATTCTGTGCATCGTGAAAGGGTTCTTCACATTGATGGAGAACATGCTGCTTGTTCCATATAGCACCAAAAAGGGTGCTGTTTTTACAAGCTTGACATCGTAACCATAGTAGAAACCTCTTTTCAAAATGTTGCTATATAGAACCATCTGCAGCACATTCTCCATCAGTATGAAGAACCATTCCTTGATGCAGAGAACCTTTTAATCATGTAAAGTGTTCATGGTTCTATATAGAACCATTTCTTTCCTAAAGAATCCTTAAAGAACCACCATTTTTATAATTAAAAAGATACAATCCGTTGGTCACTGATCTGATTCAATGTCCTTTTTGATTAGCTGAGTTTCTGAAGGAGGATGTGGAGGCCCTCAAACAGAAAGGCCACGAAGTGGAGAGAGTGGACGTTATATCGCTGGTGGAGGGCACCAGAAGGACCAATGACCTCATCATTGGAGTGAAGGACCCCCGCAGTGCAGATGCATCTGCGCTTACCATGTCTATGTCCATGCCCTAGTAGAAGCCTGTGTGGGGGGAAAGTTAATCTTAGTGCAATAAACCGAATATGAGATTTTTTTGTGAGTGGAGACCTGTGAGGGAAGAAGGAAAACACTGTATACCCTCGTAGTGCATCATAGATATCAAATAATTCAGATCATCAAGTCAGTTGGAATATTTTACACATTCTGTGATCCAACCACTGACAGCAATCAAAACTAGCCATTCCAGTACGATATTTTGAAAGGCCATATCATGGAAATTGTTTGAAGTAAAATGTAAACACTATTTCTAAATGTACTATTTACTCACAAGTCTGTACAATCCATATATGGAAACTATACTGCAAAAATTGTTCCTCTGATGTCACACGAACCAAACCAGTTACATATATCCTCCTATTAAGCCTACATCAGTTTAGCCCTGTCCATTCATTCACTTCTGAGGGGTGAGTCGAAGTTGGCAAGGGCACATTAGAAGAAAAAAAGGATTGAAACTGAGCCTAGGCATCCTGGAGTGCAACTGAAGATTTTTTTCTGAAATTACAAATGGTTGGGTTTGTGGTTTTTGGGGGTTATTTTGTTAGATGGCCTGCATGGCCACACAAATCTGAGCCAAACCCGTCTGTGTAGCTCTGTACCAAGTCAGTTTAACAATATAAACCAATACAAATCTTGACGTCAGAATTGAAAATCATATTTTACCTAAAGATGTTACATGCTTAGTAATTAAGGGTAGAATTTTGACTGAAAACAGTCCGAAAGTGGATGGTGTCAGCACGTATCTGCTTTGGAGAGTGGACTGTAAATACACAACCACCATTTAAATACACATGCACATCCGGAATGCCACCAAGCTACATATCTTCCAGGCTGCAAATAAGTTAGGGCTGCATAACATGTACCACACGCTAACGCTATTAAATCAGTGATATTGCAGTGATTACTATACATCTGGTTCCTACTGCATTATTTTGAACAAATGACGTTTGTTGCATTACGTGAACTCTGTGATTGACCAAAACACTCAAAAACTCATCTGGGGCTGTGATTGGTCAGGATGCTCACAGCACACAGTAAAAATAACCCACTGTGATTGATTAGAGGGCTCATTTGCAGTAGTAAGGGCAGAGCCAGTTTAAGGGAAGCCTGGCTGCTTCCTATTTCTCACAATGTATAAAAAATATTGACAACATGACAAACATGACATGCAAGATGCCTGCGATCATGAATGACGGCGAATAGAGCGAAAAGGCTAAAAATGAACGTAGACGGCTGTATTTCATAAAAAAAGTATATTTCCGTTTTTCTGCAGCAGGTTATGGGCCGTAGGCTACTGAGTGCTGATAGGTTAGCATTACTGCTACTGAGGGCTGATTGGTTAGCATTACTGCTACTGAGTGGTGATTGGTTAGCGTTACTGCTACTGAGTGCTGATTGGGTAACGTCACTGCTACTGAGTGCTGATTGGGTAACGTCACTGCTGCTGAGTGTTGATTGGGTAACATTACTGCTACTGAGTGTTGAGTGGTAATTGGTTAGCACTACTGCTACTCATTGCTGATTGGTTGGCATTACTGAGTGCTGATTGGTTATCATTACTGCTACTGAGTGCTGCTTGTTTAGCACCATTCATTTTTCCCACAGTGGAAAACTGCTGGAGTTCCTCATATGGGCTTGACGCTGACAATTAAATGACACATGACCTCAGAGGTCTATTGCAAAGGCTAATGTCATGATAATGATTAATGAACATATATTATGCAGCCTTACTATGAGTGTTCACTTAACTGTTGCCATCTACACTACAATTTTAATATGCTTTTGGTATCACCCACTGTGGATGCTGTACATTGTATGACCTTTTTAGCTTGTGCACCCAGTCAAACTGGACACATTAGTTACAAAAACCTTCATTAGTTAACAAATGTGTGCTGTGGTTTAGTTTAAAGCAGTCATGTGGAATATTTATATAGTTTTATTTATTTTATTTCTATTTTATTGCTTAACCCGTTAAATGGCCAGGGCCCACCAATGTTTTACTACACACTTCTATAACCTATAGAATAGCTCAGTTCAGTTTGCATTGAAGTCCCTGTAGTCTGAATAATAAGCCTTAGTATGTAAAAAGCCGGAGATTTTAAGGGGTTAAACTTTCTAGACTGAGTGTCCACGTCGCAAGTTACTGACCAGATCCATAGATCCATATTGTATAGTCATATTTGGCTTTCATGTCTAGGGCTGGGTATGAGAAAAAAGTCACGTTCAAACAAGGGGCTGGGCAGACCGCTGTTGCAGTGATGGCCAGAGTGAAATGTTTGTGTATGTTAACTCATTATTTATTGGTGATTTTTGTAGTTTTGTTCTTGTATTTTGATGTTGAGCTGATGAACATTAGCATAGACTGAAACATCAATGATTAACTGACCTGCTTTGTTTTAGGGAATGTACTGTATTGTTGAATGTACAAAAAATGTTTTTCATTTATTGATTTAATATTTTTGGTCTGTGTTATAGCATGTTTGATTTGTGAACATTAGCACTTTTTGGGGATTTTTTTTATGCTAATTCTATTGTAAAACAGCCCTGAATTTGTGAAAGACTGTTCCAGTGAAATAATATTATTATTATTATTATGTACACATTCAGTGAACATTGATGCTTTTAAGGGAAAATGTTACACTTTTGTATGCAGCGTTGTGTAGTGGTCAGCTGTTTAACAGCATATTGCATTTTTTTCACAGTGATACTCAACTTATAACACGGTAATAACACAATCAAAGTGGCATGAGCTGCACTTGGCCAGTTGAAGTTTTGTATGGTCTTGTAATCCTGCTTGAATTTTGCCTTCCTGATTGCACAGTGACTGTTTCTTTTGTATTGCGAGTGTTTGTGTGGACCAAATGAAGAAGCATAAATGTTTATTATAACTTTAATGGTAATTTACCTGTAATTATTGTTTTTTTTCTGGACTACATCCATGTTCAAGCAGTTCCAGTAACAGTACAGTACAGTAACAGTCATGCATTTGCTACTGCAGGCCAGCATTATGTTCAGACTGTCTGCAAATTTCACTGTTGCGAAAATAAAGGCTTTCACTGAACTGTTTTTCAGCAGAACAGACATTTTTAATTTGCTCATCCAACACTGGATTGTCCAATAAATTAATGTTAATGAATAAATTAATGAATTTGCACATTATACTTGAGATACAGTCAAAGCAAAATACCCCAAATTACAAATCACATGTTTTATCAATTTTCCTGAAAACAGGATATCACGTATAGACAGAAAACTTAATTATGGCAATTTCAATTTATTTGCTAAGGAAAAAAAAACATAGAAATAAAGGGTGCCATAACTATGGCATCTATGGCCTAGAACCCTCAGATTCAGTCTTTTTCAGTAGTGCAACACAGTGCTTCAGAGTTTTTATTAAACAGAGGGAAGAATCCTCATGGTAAGGACAATACAGAAGAAAATCTTCTAAATGAAAGGAACTATTCTTGAAAGGAGAGAAACTGAGAGGTACATATATCATGTAGGCCTATGTGCACATGTGTGTTCAGTTATTTTAAAGGTGCAGTGTGTAATATTTAGCAGAATATTTGAACAGAAATGGAATATCGTATACAAAACCATGTTTCACTAGTGTGTAATCACCTGTAACTACGAATCATTGTGTTTTCGTTAGCTTAGAATGAGCCCTTCATATCTGCAAAGGGAGCAGTTTGTTTACATCTAGACATTTTGAAAAATCAGTGGAATTTCCCTTTAAACTCTTCAGGCATCTGGTTCTTATCATCGCCACCTTGAACAATTCTGACACTGTAAGTTTCCTTAGATTGGAGCATTTCACACCAAACCGCTCTGAATGACTTTGTTTACATCTTAACTATTTACTATGACATTGAGGAAATTAGTACTGTTGGGCTGGTAGCTTTACACTAGCTAGTGTTCTTACTAGTGTGCACTAGCTGCTGTAGCTACTATGGGGGTGCACAGAAGTGCAAGTGGCAGAAGTGCAAACGGAACGCCGCCCGCGCAGATCTTTGCGAAATATACGTAACTCGGACGGCTTTCACGAAATGAGGTCGCTGAACGATCCACAGCCAATGGGATTCCCTTGCACTACGCAGGATCGATATTCCTACGCAGTCTTCCCAAGATACGACCTGTTTCTGGTGTGGCCACGCAGCATATACCGCAATACCGTTTGAGTGCAAACGCCGGGCGCTAGCGTATTTGTCTTTGTGAATACACGTACACTCGGTTTGAGGGGAATCGCTTGGCTACGCGCTCGGCAGACGCGCTAGCTGACTAAAAACAGAAGAACGAACAATTTGGATTTATTTTCAAATGGACTGAACGAGGTAAAAGAGCTCTTTTGCATCTTATTTTCGGTACGATCTGTTTCGAGAATGCACATATGACGCAATGAAGGATTAAAAGTCTTGTAAAACATTTCTAGCTAAGCTAACCTGAAGCTAACTCTGTTAGCCGCTTCAGTGGCCGAACGGTTAGCATTTTAGCCTTCGATGCTATTTGTTTAGCTAGCTAGCGGGGCGTAAATTCGTTTCTCTCATATATAAAATGCGTAGCTAACCTCTCTGACTAACGCGTAGTTAAAGGTAACAAGGAAATGTGCGTCCTGACACCAACGAATGAATAGCAGCTAGAAAACTACGAAGTTTGAGTCGGCTTCTAATTCGCCAGCTTCTTGTTCGAATTTTTCCGTTCCACCTTAAATGGTGCAACAGTTACATTCTGGCGCTTCAGGAGCCAGAACGCGAGTGTTGCACCATTTAAGGTGGAACGGAAAATTTCGAACAAGAAGCTGGCGAATAGGAAGCCAGTTTCAGCCTCGTTAGAAAGTTGCTTATTTATAATATTTGAAGCCACTAAAATAGCCAGCAGCACTCTAAGAAAAGATGATTCTTCAGGGGTTTTTTAGTAAAGACAATGGTTCTGTTTAGAACCATGTGTATATATAGAACTTTTTGCATGCTTAAATGGTGCTTTGCATGGTGAAATGGTTCTTCAGATGGATGGAGAATGTGTTGTATATGGTTCTGTATAGAGGTTTTTGGAAACCATCAGAAAGGATTCTTCTATTGTGTAGCTACAAGCTTGACATCATAACAATAGCGTGGTGTTGTGTGGCAAAATCACCACCACTAAGTGTATTTAGAGTGAAGCATCTAGCACAAAAACACCCTGAATCACTTTATTTACATAATAATGAAATTAATTATTCTAAAACTTAAATCTAAATCTGTGGAATTCCCCTTAAATAAATCCTTAGCTAACCTCGTTTAAACCTCAAACACTACTGCTGATGAGGTTGATGCTGCCCCTGATAAAATAAACCCAAAACTGTGTTGTCCTGTGCTATAAAGTGACTAGTTTAGTTGTGAAGTCTTCTGACAGATACACTGTGTGTCCTAAAGTTTATAGACACCTGCTTCTCCAGTGTTCTAAAATAAAGGGTATTAATCTCTTCTGGGAGGGCTTTACACTAGATCTTGGAACATTGCAGTGAGGATTTGATTACATTCAGCCACAGGAGCATTAGTGAGGTCGGGTGTTGATGTTGGATAATCAGTTATGGATCACTCCAACTCATCCCAAAGGTATTGGATGGAGCACCGTCACTCCAGAGAATGCAGTTCCACTGTTCCACTGCTCCACAGCCCAGTTTTGGGGGGCTTTATACCCCTCTAGCCCACACTTGGCATTGGGCATGGTGACCTTAGGCCCATGTGCAGCTGCTCCATGAAGTAGCTGAATTCACTAATTAGAAATTAGAAGAGTCTAGATACTTTCTGACATATGACGTACAACTATTGCACCATTTTGAATGTGGCCGCCACCTGGTTCCCTCTTTGCAGTTCCCTTTTTGGGAAGAGGTTGATATCACTTATTAGAATTATTGATAACCAGTTGGAGAGTTTTCACAATATAGATGATAATTTTGTTTCATATAGCAATATATTAGCAATATGTATACTCACTGAGCGCTTTATTAGGAACATCTATACACCTGCTCTTATGCAGTTATTTAATCAGCCAATCATGTGGTAGCAGTGCAGTGCATAAAAGCATGCAGGTATGGGTCAACAGCTTCAGATATTGTTCACTTCAACCTTTAGAACAGGAGTTACTCAGGATGGTGCAGTAATGAAAAAAACATCCAGTCATGGTGGAGCTGTGGATGGAAACACCTTGTTGGTGAGAGAGCAGTAGAGAATGGCCAGACTGGTTTGAGATGACAGAAAGGCTACAGTAACTCAGATAACCACTCTGTACAACTGTGGAGAGCAGAAAAGAATCTCAGAATATGCAACATGTCAAACCTTCAGGTGGATGGGCTACAACAGCGGAAGACCACGTCGGGTTCCACTTCTGTCAGCCAAGAGTCGAAAGCTGAGGCTGCAGTGGCTGTAGGCTGGACAGATGGAGACTGGAAAAAATATACACTGGTCTGATGAATCTTTATTCCTGCTTGGGCATACAGATGGTTGGGTCAGAATTTGGTACCAGCCGCATGAATCCATGGACCCAACCAGCCCTGTGTCAGCAGCCCAGGCTGGTGGAGGTGGTGTAACGGGGGATGTGGGGGATGTTTTCTTGGCACACTTTGGGTCTGAATACCAGTCAGCCATCCCTTGAATGCTACATCCTATTTGAGTGTTGTTACTGAGAATATACATCCCTTCATGGACACATTTCACCATCTTCTACTGACTACTTCCAGTGTGATAATGCACCATGTCACAAAACAAAAGTTGGTTTCATGAATAGGACAGTGAGTTCGGTGTTCTTCAGTAACCTTCCCAGCCACCAGATCTGAATCTAATAGAACACTTTCGTGATGTGGTGCAACGGGAGATTCGCAGCATGAAAGTGCACATGAGAAATCTGCAGGAATTACAAGATGCAATCATGTCAACATGGACCAGAATTTCAAAGAAATGTTTCCAACATCCATGTTGTGAAAACCATGCCATGAAGAATTGAGGCTGTTTTGAGAGCAAAAGGAGGCGCTTCCCAGTATTAGCGCATTGTTCGCAATAGAGTGCTCAGTGAGTGTATGTACATTAAATGCATTTTATTGTACGTATTTTAAATAGGAGTGTAACAATTCTGAAACCTAGATCAAAACCGTGAGATGAACGTCCATGGTCTCGTTCTGGTCCTGTTGCGTTCTCATTATGCTACTATCGTAACAAAACTCAAATTTTTATTTTACAAAGAACACTATAGAACATATAAATCACAAAATTATTGGTGTACTTGAAGTTAGGGCAAGTTGTATAGCATATTCTTTAGTGTTCCTCTCTTTAGTGTTCCAAACTGATAAATAGGCAATTGGTTATAATAGTTAAGACAGGAAGGAAAAAAAAAATGCCATTTAAAACAATAAGACAGGATACCGTTACTGTCGAAAGAAAAAATAGTAATAGTAAAATAGTGAAAAAAAATAGTGATAGTCACTTCACAGGAGAGGGCAAAAACGTCCTTTACTTTCAGTGTGGGCAGCATTGGACAGCGGCAATATATAAAAATGAAATTTGAGTAAATAATTTCCTACATTTGCTCAATGGCAGATGTAAGTGAGGATTGCAGTAAAGCAGTAAGCTAGTATTGTGGGGTTTTTTTTTGTTTTTTTTTTTAACCTGTTGCTGAGCAGCCATTTGTTTTATTTATGCACTACTAGAGCAAGAGCCCCAAATTTGTATGTGCTCAGCTACATTTCTTTCTGTGGAACTGATGGTTAGAACAGGTTTGACTTGTTTAGGGACCCAGTTTGTAAATTATGTCCTGGCAAGAAAGAAATTTACATTCATAGTTGGTTGTGTGATGGTGTCTTTTATTTACGTTGAGTTTGTTCATGTTGCTTTACTACAGGCATGTAGCAATTTCAGTACAGTATCGACAAATTGAAAGATTACATTCAAAATAGGTTATCAGATTTAAAACTGTAGACTTTAATGTACTGTCTTTCATGGAAACAACAGTCAGAGATGAAAATTAAGAGTCTCGGTGAATCCTGTCTTATTTCTGTATTGTTTTTACCTGCTTGTATTTCACATTACTGTTTGCATATGGATGTACTTTTTTTCCATAGTCTTTTGTTTTGATATATGAATCATTAGTAATTGTTGGGGATGCAGTGATGACACTTTTTCCATTGCAATACTGAGTACCTTTACTAATTTTGAATGGAAAGTCCTCCGATTTTTCAAAAAATTCTGCATAATGAAATGATTAAGTCATTCAGAGTGGTTTGGTGTGAAATGCTCCATTCTAGAGAAACTTTCATTTTCTTCACGATTGTTTACAGTGGTAGTGATGGGAACCAAATGTCTGAAAAGAAGTCAAAGATATTGACATGAAAATTTTATGAAAAAGCTTTCTGAAACATTATTTTACAAAGAGTTTTAGTAAGATTTTGCACTGTATTTTTAAAGCCATTTATGGTTGGGGGGTCCATGCAAGGTGTGTGAGGCAACATAATCTAAACATAATATAAACTTATTCTTACGGATCTAACACTATTTTATCATAATAACATTGCATAGAAACATTCAGATGACACATGTAGGTTCACTGGTGGTTTTGGATCGCGCATAAAACGGCTATATTTGTGTTGTTGACATCCCTGGTTTCTGTCATGGTCACTGTAGTATTTGGCATAGTTTATGTCTTCAGTAATTGGTGCTATTTGTTAATCATCTCAGTAGTTTTCTATTCATAATTAAGGTCATCAATGTTGAGAAGTCTTATCTGTTTTTTAAGAGGTCTTAAAGGGTTGGTTTCCTGGACAGGAAATAAGCCTAGTTCTGGACTAGCATTCTGAATGGAGAGTCACCATTTAAAAAATACATAAATAATTAAGTAAATAAATACATACATACATACATACATACATACATAAATAATTAATCCATGGGCTGTATTACTGAAAATTATTACCAAGTGTACTTCTAATTTAAGATCTGGCAAAGTCAAGATAAGATTTTTCACAAGTGTGTATTACAGAAGTAAATTCTTAATCTTAATTTAGGAACTTTATCTTATGTTACAAAAGTCTGAACTACTCAACTGAAGTCGATGATCAATTGTTATGAAACATAAACATGTAATCAAAGTAATGTTAAAAAATGAAAGTGAGTTAGACTTACTATTACCAAAGTCCTTACACTCTCAGAAAAAAGGTACAAAACTGTCACTGGGGCAGTACCCCTCTTTTCAGTGGGGTGAAACCCTCAAGGGTACATCTCAGTACCTTTAGTCAGGGAACATAACTGTACCATAATCCATTGAAGTTATTTTTATTAAGTTGTATTGACTCCACACATCCCATCTCATGTCCAAACTTTTATTTTATCTTATTTAATATATCTTCTTTCTCAAATTAAGCCAGCTAGGTACCGAGACATCGGCATACTACTAGCAATATTTTTATGCTTGTTGTAGAAAAAGAACCATAATACATTGAAATGACATTAAAGTAAGATAATACAATTGTTATCCTAATTTTTTAACTTAGAAAATACTCACATTTGTGGGTTTCTTTGGTTGCTTGCGCAGCCTTCTTTCCATTTGGAGTGTGCCTCTGAAAAACCTCTGTTTGGAGGGCCCCAACACTTCGCCCTACCTCGGGCTAAGTGGTAGGGCCGAGGGGTAAAATGGAATGGAGCCTCAGTCATCATGTGAGCCGCACTAACGTTATTCCTCCTACTGAACAGACACACATTCAGCTGATTCTCTTCTTTATTCACCACCATCACTGCAATATTTTTAATTACATGTTTTCATGAACATTGACACACAAAGGTAATACGGGAACATGTCTGCAGCGTCCAGATTTTAGAACTGCAGTTTAAAGAGCACAAGCGAAAGCACTGTTTGCAAAATATGTAAATAAACTGTCGTCATGCTGTTTATAGTGAGCTTATGCTGCCTGTCACAGCTGCCCAAAAGCAATAGAAACAAAAGAGAAGTTGGGACACTACTTAGGAAATTTTGTCTGGTTAGAATACTTTTATAACAGTGATTTCTTATCAGGATCATAATTATGAACTTTGAAACTGTTGTTCTGTGATCTCTACGGTTCTAAATTCAGTCCTAATTAAAGTTCTCATGGTGACAAATGGTTCTTCAGATGATGAAGAATGTGCTCGAACCTTTTTGAAAAGCGATCTTCTATTGTTACAATATCAAACCTGTAACAATAAAAGAACTTTTTGCTAGTATATAGAACATTTTTCAAAAAGGTTCCATATAGAACCATGGGAAACACATTCTCCAGCAATCTGAAGAACCCTTTCTCGATGCTCTATATAGAACCATTTTCTTTACTAAGAACCCTCGAAGAACCATCTTTTTTAAGTGTGTAGTCAGCCTACAGCAGCCCATACACATTGAAGTTACAAGGAGTGTTTCAGCCTGGATTGCTTTTTTAATGAGACACAGTACAGAGCAGCCAATCAAAACACAGTTCAAGTGCTAGAAAAATGTACAATATTTAAATTTCAATTTAAATTGTTTAATTGCCAAATTATAAAAATGCAGTACAAAGCCTTTTTTGTTCTTTTTCTAAAAAGCCTTTTGTTTCTTATTCTCACAGAGCTGCAAGAGACCATACAGCTCTTTTCGTAAGGGCCATGGCACAGCAGCCCAACCCGTCTGAGCTCTCGTGGTGTACAGAGTCTCCTGGGACCCTTTTAACCACTGAGTACGACTCCGGATTGGAGGATGGAGATGACGTCTGCAGTAATCATGGCAATAGCAGCCGAGTTCAGTCTCCAAATCCAGAGGGAGAGGAAACCACCACCATCTTTGTGGCTTTTAAGGGAAACCTGAATGACTCTGACTTTCAGGAGAAGCTTGACACCATCTTGAATGGGATGCCCCTGATGCTTTCATTGGGTGAGGGTACTTTGAATGGCTTAAAATCACAGTATGGTTACAGTTGTATGCAAAATTACATGACATGTTTTATTGATTTTCTGAGTGAAAATAAACATATTCTCTTTGGAAAACACACTTGTGCACAATTTTAATGCACAATTACTGCTTATTTGTTCAATTTAATATATTGGGAAAAAATAAATTAAACATTTTGGTACATTTTATGTTTTATTATTTATAAATAGAACCCAATAGCACTAAAATTGGCAGAAAATGTCATATTTGAGGTTTTTTTTTTTGTTTTTATTTTGTCCCTTTATTCATTATGTTTATACCAGGGTGTAAATCTGACATAATGACAATTCAGTATGATTATGAGTTTTTCATCCTGGAATTCTACATTTCACAATGATTTGCTTTAGATTTTTTTTGGTAAGGTTTAGAATTATTCCCAAAAAACACAGAGTACCAACCTGACTGGAGGAACTATTTACACAGTAGTGGAATATAGACAGTAAAAACAATATGCCATGTACCAAGTTTTTTTTTTTCATAGTTGAAAAATGTGAAAAAAATATTTTTTTTTATTGTAGCCAAAAATTGAGTGCATTCTATATGAATATTTTTTGATTGTAATTAAATGTAACATTCCAAAAGCTATGCAGTTAAATTGCCACCTTCAGATCTGTGCATCACATGCATTTTTACACCTCTAGGCAATCCCTTTCCTTATTTAATTCTCCTAATTAAATTTTAAATTTGATTTTTAACTTCTTCTGTTTTAAATCTCTTGGTTATAATCGTATTTTAATTATGTTTTTAATTTCTGTTTTCCTACATGTAGTTAAATTTTGATATTTGTTATGTTTGTATTTTTTCATTTGTAAAGCACTTTGAATGAATGCCCGGATAGTGTCCTGTGACTCTGACTCTACTTGCTCCGTTCATGATGCTCTGTATGTTTGGTAAAGGTCCTGAGAAGCTGGCACCCCAGCGAGTGGAACCATGGAACAGCGTGAGAGTCACCTTCAGCATCCCCAGAGAAGCTGCTGAGCGACTCCGCCTCTTGGCTCAAAACAACCAGCAGCAGCTCCGGGACCTGGGAATCCTCTCAGTGCAGATAGAAGGTGTGCAACATTATCTGCCAGGGCTGATTAAGTTTTGCATAGTTTATTTGTTGAGATGTAATCAAAATCATTCAGAGTGGTTTGATCTGAAACGATGCAGTATGGAAAAACGACTCAAGTGGTGATAATAACCAGGAGTTGTGATGTATACAGCAGAAGTTATTTGTTGTAATGTGTGTGAACCTACGCAAGTTTTTATATGTAAGGCGGGTATTGGTAAAATAATGGTAAGATTTTTATTGGATGCTGATGCAGGTACACTTACTGAGCACTTTAGTAGGTAACTTTAGTAGTAACATCTCCTTGTTTCCACACTAATTGTCCATTTTATGAGCTCCACTTACCTTATACGTGCACTTTGTAGTTCTACAATTACAGTCTGTAGTCCATCTGTTTCTCTGTATATACTTGGTTAGCACCCCTTTCACCCTGTTCTTCAATGGTCAGGAACCTCACAGGACCATTTTACTCAGTTATAGTCCACTCTATTATAGACTCATATCATGTTGATCCACTTTGTAAGTGTAAAATCAGAGACGATAGCTCATCTGTTGCTGCTCTGTTTGTGCTCGTCATCCTCTAGCCCCTCGTCAGTGGTCACAGGATGCTGTTGGTGGACTATTCTCAGTCTAGCAGCGACACTGAGGTGTTTAAAAACTCCAGCAGCACTGCTGTGTCTGATCCACTTGCACCAGCGCAACACACACTAACATGCCACCACCACGTCAGTGTCACTGCAGTGCTGAGAATGATCCACCACCCAAATAATACCTGCTTGACCATTGAAGAACGAGGTAACAAAATATACAGAGAAACAGATGGACTACAGTAATTGTAGAACTGCAGAGTGCACCTATATGGTACGTGGAATGGATAAAATGGACTGTGAGTGTAGAAACAATGTTCCTAATAAAGGGCATGGTGTGTGTATCTGACAAATATTTTAGACTAAAACTTTATTACACAACTACTATAAAACAATGTCTTAGTCAACATATTCGTAACCATTATGTGCAGTAGAATTTTTTTTTTTTTTTGTGAAGTAGCTTTTAGAGGCATTTATCGCAAGGGTTCCCAATCCCAGTCCTAGCTACCCCACACCTGCACTTTTTTGTGCTTTGTCTCATGTAGCTCACCCGATTCAGTTTATTAACTAATTAACTAGCTCATCGTTGGCTGGGTCAGGTGTGCAACTGTTGTTCGATCACACCCTCTAGCCATCATTGATTGACAGTTCCTGTCATTGGGTCAGGAGTTGGGCCATAGCCAGGTTGCTTTCCCTTACCACCAGCACTGCCTGAGCATGTTTGCAGCGTGCCTGCTTAAACTGGACCAAATAAACATGCTTTCTGGTCGGAATCATGGTTCTCTGTTAGAAGATAACTTTGTTCTCATTATGGTTTGGTAGTTTCTGCTGTTGGTTTAATAAATTGTGAGTTTACAGTCATTAAAACACTTTTTGTTAGAATAATAAAATGGCTAAAGCTTAACCACGTGAAGGGGCCTGAAGGCTGCTGGTACTGTTGCTATGTGTTGTCTTTTTTTTTGTTTGCAATAACTGGTGTAAACACAACATTAAAATCTCCATTTAGGGCTTTATCAGTTTAACAAGTACAACAGCAGGCACTGCTACAAAATGCTCTAATGCCAGACAGCATTTCAGGGCTGATTCAGGTTATGGACAAACAATACACTAAATCATTAAAACAAATCGTTGCAAGACAAATATAATTACTTTTGCATGTAAAAGCCATGGATGGCGAGTCTTTAGACATTTAAGTCATCCAACTTGACTGACAGTTGCAGTAGATGGAAACTAGTGGCGATTGACAGGAGTCAACTCGAGTAGGGAAAACACAAAAATGTGGCTGCCAGGATTGAAACTGGGTTGCATAGGTCTTGTTCCTTTTACTTCTTCTGTGAACGGTTCTGCTCGGTATGTTTCTCAAGAATATAGTTGAATATAGTGAATATTAGGGGTGCGGGAAAAACTCGATTCTTAAATGCATCGCGATGCGGACGTGTACGATTCTGAATCGATTCATTCAACGTCAAAAATCGATTTTCTAAATATTTAATTTATAACGTAATGTTGACGGAACACATAACACATGGCACATAACAAAAACACTACTGGAGGAGCGAGAAATCCGACCGGCTCCCTCTGCATTAAAAGCCAGGTTAGGTCAGGAGTCACAACACAAATGATAAGAAGAGCCATTTTGCCTTTCAATGAAGTCAAACCACCTTGGGAGCCACAACATTTAATGCCCAGTATGTCTCAGTCTCTGAATGAGAGCCTTCTAGTTCACTTGCCACATCACTTCCATTTGATTTATTAATAAAAGATATTTTACATAATTAAAGCAAAGTATTTGTAATGATCCGTAATGCATTTACATTATGGATCATTACAAATACTTTGCTTTAAAACTACCAAGTCCTCAGACAGTAGGAAGATAGAAATCATGTATAGAGAAAAAAGATGCATCGAGATGCATCGATAATCGTTTCATATAATCGCATCGCAGCCCTCTGAATCGTAATCGAATCGAATCGTGAGGTGCCTAAAGATTCCCACCCCTAGTGAATATAGTTTCTTGGCTTGAATGTACACCTTTAATGGGTATAGAACCTTTTAAGTTATGCATGTATTTTTACACTTTCAAAACTTTGGACACACCTGTTTTAATGCATGTATTTGTTATCTTAAAGACATTTTGATCTAAATGCGTATAATGGAAAGTTTTTAAAATGTGTTGCCATAGGTGAAGGACCCATTAATGTTGCAGTTGGGCAGAACAGAGGTCAAGAAGTCAGGGTGAATGGGCCCATTGGGGCTCCTGGCCAGAGAATGGATGTTGGCTTCCCCATGCAACAAGGTCCTGGTAATTTCACAAAAATTTAACAAATAAAATACAGTTTTATACTTTTTGAATTTACCCTTTGTTCAGCTCCACACTGGATGTGTTTTTCTGCTTTTATTTTTTTTTTGTTTATCACTGCTCTATGATAGTAGACTAGTACATTCTTTTAACAAAACACTCCAATCAAATACAACTTTGCAGAGTAAGCTCTGATTTCATCAAGGCTACCTAAATTATGGTGTTACACCAAAGTACAGGCTACAGTGAACGTTTAGCCTAGCTTGTCAATGACAGACTTGACAGAAATTATTGTTATTAAAATTCAACCACAAACCTCATAAAGACATGCTTTACTTGGTTCCTATGATTTTGGAATAGTTTGGAACACTTGTATCTAAGTAGGAAGACATTGCTTTATCTGACCAAATTCAACATAGGAATGACCCATAAAATTTCAAGGTTGGAAGGATTCAGTTAGCAAAAGATCAGATAACTGTTTTAATGTGTGATCATGTCTTTAGATAGATAGTAATCATGTGTATAAGTGGGCTTATGCATATCTTGAGTTTGTTCAAAGAGGAAGAAACTTATTGTAGTGGTACATGTGGATAAAATTTAGATGTTTTTGCTGTTTAAGGCCTGCACAGGTTGGGACCTGAAAAGTTGTTAATAAGCAATATTGAGGTGGCATGAGCATAATACTGTACAATGTTTTGTGTACTAAAGTCGTATAACTGTATAAAGGCCATTGTGGTTTTAAACGTCCTTGTAGGTGGAATACGGATGAACAACCCCGCAATGGTGCCGCCTGGACCTGCCATAGCTGCACAGGGAATGGGGCCAGGCAATAGTGGACAGATGCACCCGAGAATGCTAAGGCCACCCACACAGACGGGTGAGCTTGTAAATGGCAGTTTCACCTTTCACCTCTAACCACAAATGTGCCAGACAAAGCTCTTCAGTTTAATCTTTTCTGTGTTTTTTTTTGTTTTTTTGTATAGACTCAATGGATCCCATGCTGTCAGGCCTAGCTTTGCAACAGCAGCAACAGCTCCAGCATCCACAGGCACCCCATGGCCCCCCCAACTCAATGGGCCCACAAGGTCATCACATGCAGGGCATGCAAGCAAACCGTCAACTCAATCCAGCAGCCTTGCAGCAACTTCAGCAGCACCAGCAACAACAGGCTCAGCTAGCACAACTAGGTGGTGCTCGTGGTCCCTTCAACCCTGCTAACCAGATGCCTGGCCCTGCTGGCTGGAACCCTGGTGTCCAGCCATCACCTGCTCAGGGCACAATGGCTCCAAATTGGAGAAAAGGTTCTCCACAGGCTCAAATGGGGCAGCGTCCTCCCTCCTTAGCATCTGTACAGACACCAAATCATCCACCACCTCCATATCCTTATGGCAGCCAGCAGGCAGGGCAGGTTTTCAACGCCCTGACTCAGCAACAATTACAGCAACAGCCGCAGCCAGCAGGGGCAAACCAATTTGCAGCCCCTCAACCCAAAGGTCCACAGGGAGTGGCAGGAGTGGTTGGACCAAGGCCACCTCCTCCTCTGCCTCCTGTGTCTGCTGCACAGAGCAGCCTTGCTGCCAAGTCCCCTGGATCCTCATCTTCACCATTCCAGCAAGGCTCACCTGGTACACCCCCCATGATGGGACAGGGCCAAGGTCAGCTAGGTCCACGTCCCACAACTCCACAGGGATTTCCACAGGGAGTTGGATCCCCAGGCAGGGCTGTGCTGGGACAGCAGGGTAACGTTCAGCCGGGCTTTATAGGCATGCAGCAGCATGTGCAGGTTCCCCAAGGAGGGATGGGAGGTATGCTTCCTGTAATAGTTTATTAAAATTGTATATGAGTACTTCTTGAGTTAGGCCTTGAGTATGCACAAAAATACTGTACAGAAATAAGTGTTATTATTTATTTTAAAGGTATGGCAAAACGAATGCCGATGGGGTTCCCAAATGTTCCTGTGAGTCAGAACTTTGCACAAGGAGTTACAGCTAGTGGAGCAGGAACACCCACAGGCAGCACGCCTCAGCTGCAGAACACTCAGAGCATGGCACACCCGGGTACGGTGTTTGTATGGATTGCATGATATTTTGATAGATCATTTGAGCAGTTGACATTTTGTGTTACATGTCAGTTGTAAGAACAAAGTGACTTTTTCAGATATCATTCAATTGAATATCATTTTCATTTGTTGTAGGTGCTCAACCTCAAGTCTCGGCACCAAACCACATGCAGCCCAGTTCCCTTCAAACTAGTGTAATTGGCCATCACAGTGGAATGGCTCCCCAGCCTCCTGCTACCTCAGGTGGCAGTATGGGACAGCCTCAGACAGGCTTGAATACCCAAATGATGGCCATTCAGTCCCAGCTTCAAACACAGCCTGTAGCCTCCTCTCAAAGTCAAATGGTGCAAGGCCAAGCAGGGGGTCAGACTGTACTGTCCAGACCCATGAATCCAGGACAGCGAGGGATGACCCCTCCTAAACAAATGATGCCTCCACAGGGGCAAGGAATGATGCAGAACCAGGGCCAGCTTAGTGGGGGACAGGGGCACCAGGCATTACTGCTGCAACAGCAGCAACAGCAACCGCAACAACAACAGCAACAGCAGCAGCAACAGCACCAACAACAGCAGCAGCAACAGCATCAACAACAGCAGCAGCAGGCATCACAGCAGCAACAACAAAATGCTATGATGGAACAGATGGTAGCCAGCCAGATGCAAGGTAACAAACAGGCCTTTGGGCCAAAAGGCCAACCAGGAGTCATGCAGGGTCAGATGATGCGAGGCCCATCACCTAATTTGCAAGGCAACATGGTGCAATTTCAGTCGCAGCAACTGACCCCGCAACAACAGCAGCAGATGGCTCAGCTACAACAACAGCAGCAATTACAGCAACAGCAGTTGCAGCAGCAGCAGCAACAGCAGCAGCAGCTACAACTGCAACACCAACAGCCACAACAACAGCAACAGCTACAACAGCAGCATCCGCAAATGGCTCAACAGTCCCAGCAGATCCCAATTAATGGTAATCCCAACCAAGCATTAGGCATGCATGGCCCTCACATGCGACTACCAGGACATCATTTGGTGCAACAGCAGCTTCAACAGCAGCAGCTTCAGCAGAAACAGCAGCAGCAGCATCAACAGCAGCAGCAGCAACAACATGTGATGCAACAGTTACAGCAGCAGCAGCAACAGCAGCAAGCTGGCCAGCAACATCCACATCAGCTGGGAGATGGCAGTGGTAACACTGGAGACATAAATCAACAACAGATGCTTCCTGACATGCAAATCCAGCAGCAGCAGGGCATGATGGGAGGACCTCAACATATGCAGGTGGGCAATGGCCATTTTCCTGGTCATGGCATGCCCTTTAATCCTCAGTTTGGTGGCCAGATGCCAATGGGTGGACCCTGTGGGCAAACGGGTGGTTTTCCAGTGAGTAAGGATGTAACTCTGACTAGCCCATTATTAGTTAACCTTCTCCAGAGTGACATTTCTGCTAGTCAGTTTGGGCAAGGTGGAAAACAGGGAGCAGGTGGGGCTGGTGTTAACCAGGCCAAACCTAAAAAGAAGAAACCGCCTCGTAAGAAGAAACCCAAAGTAGAAGGACAGCAATCCGTTGAAGGTCTTGGGTAAGGGCGCTGTGTTTTGTTCACAGATACAGTTTCATAGAATATTTAATTTTACAGGCTGTGTATCTTTTCAAGTCGTTTGTCACAAGTCCTATCTTTCCTTCCTTTCTGTAGTGGCCTAGATCCAGTTTCACAAGGAATGGATGATGTAGAGTTGCCAGGGATAAGTAGTGATCAAGGAGTTGGCCTGGATTCTTCCAACTCAAAACTCCCTGAATTCACTAATCGACCAGGTAAGATTACAAAGAAATAACATTTTCTTCCCGATCATTAAGAATGTGATGATATTTCTGTTTTCATATGACATGAGTTTCTTGAGGGTTGAAGTGTCTTGTCATCATGAATCGTCCCCTTGGTTTCATTGGTGCTGTTTTGCATGAATTTGTTGCCTGAACTGAATTCTCTGTTGTTTATCCAACCTATATAACTTCTGCTATCAAGTATTTTCTAGATTTGTTCCTTTATAACTTTCTTCCACAATAAGTCAGGCACTCTCTCTTTTCATATTTAAATCAAATCTCTTTTCCCTAGCCTACAACCTACCCCAGACTTAATCCAACTTCTCTGTTATGTCTTTATCGTTTTTTCTGTACTTTTTTGTATTCTTTTGTGTCTTCTGGTGTTCTGTGTATCGTTGTAATTGTCAGTGTCTTTGGGTTCTCAGGTCATTCTTACCATTATTATTACTACTACTATTATTATTATTATTATTATTATATTATTATTTTATAATTATTATTATTTTAAGCCATTGATACTCAGGAGGGAAGTACATCTTACAGTGCACATAGTCTTGTGCTTGCAGAGAACATCAAGCTCATTTGTAATGTTTGTGTTGAATTTGAAACCAGCTAAATGTAGCCTACTGTGAGTCCTCTTTAACCATTATTTTTCCCATTAAATTGCCTTTTAAAACACAGCTGCTGGCTCCAATATAGTGCATATTGTATTAAGGCTTTGTGGATGTCCTTACTAAGTGCAATGGGTCTTGGAAATACTTTATGATTTTTTTTTTTCCATTTTAGGATTTTCTGGCCAGTCAGGAGATCAAAGGGTATTGCAGCAAATGCCAATTCAGTTCATGGCCCAACAGCAGCAACAGATGCAGCAAATGCAGCAGAAACAGTTACAGCAGCAACAAATGCATCAACAGCAGCAGCAGCAACAACAGCAACAACAACAACAACAACAACAACAACAAATGCAGCAGCAGCAACAATTGCAGCAGCAGCAGATACATATGCAGGGCATGCAGATTCCTTCAAGTCAAGCTGGAACACCACAAGGTACGCAACAAGGACAAATTCATCCACATCAGTTGCAGCTCCAGCAACAGCCACCACAGCACCTACAGCAGCAGCAGCAGCAACAGCAACAGCCACAGCAACAACAACAAACGCCACCATCACAACAGCAGCAGCAACACATGATGATGATGCTCAAGATGCAACAGGAACAAGCAAAGAATCGACTTGCGCTTCAACAAGGTGGCCACCCCCCAAGAGGTCTTGTCAATCCCAGTGATCCTGCTCAGAGAATGCCTGTGTCACAACAAGGCAGCATGCCAGTAATGATTAATCTGCAAGGACATGGAGGTGTTCCACCCTCTCCAGATAAAGCCAGAGGGATGCAGCCCATGGTGAACTCCCAGTTGGCTGGTACAGCAAGAAGGATGCCCCACCCAGATGTTGGACAGGTAAACTCAGGAATCCCACCAGAGGAAACATCAGGAGTGCCTAACTTGCAGGACAGGGCATCAATTGAAATGGCACCTCAAACAGGGAATGGCAATCAGCAAAATGTTGGCAGCCAAGGTCCTAATACACACTTGTTGAAGTCTGGGCCTTCATCAATGCCTCAGCAACCAGGAGCGAGTCCCCAGCAGCCGCCTCAACAACTAACACAAATGGCCAGCTCACATAATCTTCACTTTCCCAGTGCTCCTTCAACTTCCCAGAGTTCCCGGCCTAAGACACCAAACCGTGCCAGTCCTAGGCCATATCATCATCCACTAACTCCAACCAACCGTCCACCCAGCACAGAGCCTTCAGAGATAAATCTATCTCCTGAGAGACTGAATGCATCAATTGCTGGCCTTTTCCCCCCTAAGATTAACATCCCTCTGCCACCACGACAGCTCAATCAAAATCGAGGTTTTGATCAGCAGGGTCTAAACCCAACTACTCTGAAAGCAATTGGTCAGGCTCCACCAAGTCTAACCTCTCTTGCTAACAATAATACCTCTAGTGGCAATAATAATGTCCAACAGGGTTTTACAACAGGTGGTAGTACAGCAAATACAGGTGGAAAGCAAGAAAAACAGCCTGGTGGGGGGCAGACAAAGCGAGCTAGTCCCAGTAATAGTCGGCGATCTAGTCCTGCCTCAAATAGGAAAGCAGCCACTCCAAGCCCTGGAAGGCAGAAGGGCACTAAAAACTCTCTGACCTCTCCACTACATCAGCAACAAATGGCAGGCCCCCAAACTGTAATGGCCAGTTCTTCAGTGCTGTCAAGTCCCACTGTATCTATGCCATCAGCTGGGACTCCAGATTCTCAACAGAGTCTAAATCCTCTACAAACTCTCCCTGGTAATTCTGATGCAATGAAGGATGGCCAGGTGCAGGTACAACAACCAGAGCAGCGTCAAACAGTCCAAGCACCGAGAGATCCATCTGCGCTTAGAATGGCAAATCCACGGGTGCCACCTCAGGAGCTGAAAAGTCAGGAGTCCAGTAATGTACTTGACAGACCATCTGAAGAGATGCATCAGCTGCCTAACATGCCACAACAAGAGCTTGGCTCTGTAATTTCACCAGCTTTCAGAGATGCCCCGACATCCCTCAATCAGTTATTGGACAATACAAGTCTGCCATCCTTGTCCATGAAACCACCCAAAATTGCTCAGCTAGCAGGCGGGGATCTGGTGCAAAAAGAGAGCCCTCGACTTTCAGGAGATCAAGAGAGTCAGCGTAATCCTAGTAACCCACAGAACACTGATAGTAGTCTTCCTTTGCCTGTGAGTGAACCTGAGCAGAAACCTAAGATTGGTTCACTGGTCCCAAATAGCAGTACAAGCCTTCAGTCATCCTGTGCTGTATCGAGTATCAGCCCAAACCCAGCTTTGCTTTCTAGCACCACTACAAATGCTGGCTCACATCCCAACCCTTCTGTGAGTCCAAATCCCAACGCTAAAACTATTGCAAGTATGTCACAAACTGTCTTGCAAAGACCCACCTCATCAGGACCCACTCCTCAAAATCAGATAACTGTCTTTGTAACATCGAATCCCATTAGTTCTGCACCCAGCACAGCATCTGCAGGGACCCCAGCAATTGTTTCCACTGTCCTTACAGTTCCCAGTAAGAACATAAGACCCCCAGATGTGCGTCAGTCAGCTCCCACTCAGAACCGACCTGCACAGTTTATTACACCTGTGTTCAATATATTCCAAGTCCCCACTGCCTCTGTCTCTGTACCATCAAGCACCAATGTGGTGTCTCAGCCTGTCACTATGGTTCGGCCCATACAAGTGCCTGCAAATATTCAGCTTGCTCCTGCTTCTGTTTCAGCTGCAGCCTCTGCTCCAGCATCTGCCTCTATGGCAACGCATTCCCCTGCTGTAAGCATAGCCACAAATCAGCCAGGCCGTACCATGATTCAACAAATTCAAGTGCAAGTGTCCGCAAGTCATGCTTCCCCTATCAGTTCACTGCTTCCTCCTCAGCAACCAAGCCCTGGAACTCTCAAGTGTGAGAGTACCTCTGATGCTCCTACTTCAAAGTCAAGTCCTGTTGGACAACAGTCTCTCATAACTAGTTCATCTCCTCGCACATCCCCATCTTTTCAGCAACCTCTGGCTTCTCCACCTGCTTGCTCTAGCCCAGGTACTACATCTGTTCCTCGTAGGAGTCCCCTCTCACCAATAACTGCTGTTGCCAAGAGCAGTGCACTTCAGCCTGTTTTGAGCAAGACCTCTGTCTCCCAAAGTGGCGACACCCATCACGTGCAACAGCAGAGTACAACCCAGGCAGGAAAAAACATAGACATTGCACCACCTCAAGTGTCTAACCGTGTGATAACAACTGAAATGCTTTCCTGCCCACAGCCTTCTCCTACAGTAGTCTCAGTTGCACCAGTAGCATCTCAGCCATTAGCACCAGTACCCACAGCTTCTCCCTCTCCTATGGCAATTTCCTCTTCTATCCCTACACTTAACCCTCCTGCAGCCACTCCTAGTCCTACCATGGTACCTCTGGCCAGTCCTGTTACTAGTTCCCCACCGCCCACTACTGTGCCTGCAGCAGCACTTCCTCCCCCTGCTTCTGTCCCAGGAACCTCTGTTCCTCCCACTGGCCCTTCAGTAGTGTCATCACCACCACTGCCAGCTGTCGAACAGCAGCCTACTACAGTAACAGAGACAAGCTTGCCTGATCCAACACAAACTGGGGGGCCTGCTGCAGATGCTCCAAGTCTCCCAGGTATTTACTTTTTTGGCAACTGAAATGTCTTAAAACGGTCCTGTAGAAGTTCTGTATGACTGTGTTCAGGCACAGGTTTGCATGTAAAGTTACACAGGTCACTGTAAGTAAGATGTTTTGTAATTTAAGTATCAGTTAAAACCCAGGAAACCAAAGTCTATGATTACTTTCTAATTAGGTTAATGTTAGCCTATAATATGAATGTATGAAGGTCCTAGGAATAATTGGTGACTTTTCTGCAGCCAAGTGGCCTTTGCCATTTCGTCCTCTTCTTGGAGAAAGCTTTACCTTTACCAATCACAAGGCTGAAACAACTTTCACAACTATGCATTCCCACTTAAACACTCTCACTCTCTTAAAGTCTATGCAACCAATTAAAAGAAACCAAACTACAGATAGAAGGCTAACCTTGTACACCTAACCTACAGTGACAGTTTAGTTCTCCTGTGAATGCAGGTTATTGGTTAAAGAACCTCTGTTTGATTGTCAAAATTAGCATCAGTAGGTTCTCAGATTTAGGCCCCAATTTAGCACAGTTTTTTTGCTACTCGGAAGTATGTCACACCTATGTTACCCAAGTTTAAGGCCGTAACAGGATGTGAGCAGCGGATTTTGCATTCAGAACACCTCCACCTTAGCTAGGTTATTGTCAGTTAGGCTACTAGCTAATCAAGCAAACTTTATAATGTAAAAACATTTTTTTCTAAGTCTGAACACAAATATTTTTTTATGAATGTCTGGCTGTAAGATTCGGTTTATAAATTAAAGTAATGAAGTATGAGCAGTCACATATAATAGGTACAGGAGTTTGTTAGCTTTAACCCAGTGTAAATATATCAAGTGATATGGTTTTGAAATATTAGATTATTGAAATGGCTTATTAACAGCTTGACCCTTGCCCCTCTGAGGGCTCACCTAGTAAACCTGTATTTTTTATTTTTGTTTTTTTGTTGTTCAAGCTGCTGGACCAGTGGTTCCCAACCTGGTCCCCAGGACCCCCCACGCCTCTGCCCCCTGGTCCTCCAACCAAAATCACAACACACAGAGATGGAGGAAAAATGTGGGCCATCTGGGGGGGCCTTTAGGACCAGGTTGGGAACCACTGTGTTAGATGTTTATAGTATCATGCAAGCTTTTGTGTATGTCTTTTCGTTTTTATCTATTTGTTTCATAATTGTTGAGGCTAATTTTGAATGTTAAACGATTTCTGTTCTTAATAGTGGTTTGTTATTAATCTGTCAATACAGCTCAGCCTGAAGTTGCACAGGAAGAACAGCGTTTGAGTGACCAAGCTGGTAATCACCGTCTTACGTTTCAGCAGTTCTGTCTCCACAACATTTACATGATGCATAAATCATTTATTTGATTGCATGTTATACCGTCTAAACAAACCAAAACAAGATTAAGCACTTTAATTTACCTGAAATTGTGGTATCAGAAGGCAGTAATCTGTTGTCCTTTTCAATTTTTTCCTTTTTAAGGAGAGGCAGCTCCTTCTGTGACAGAGCAGGGGTAAGACAGAATTTCAAATTAATCCTAGTTAAAATATCTGAAGTGTTAACCTTTCGTTGTCATGTGCATTATCTGTCACTTTTTGCTTTCTCACATTTAACAACCACATTTCACCTTTGTGTTTATGTCTAATGTCTAATAGTTTCTGTAACTTGTCTTTTTGTAATTCTTGATCATTATTGCTGATTATGCAATTATTTAAATGTATTTTGTTTTCAGTTACTCACTTTTATTGGCTTAGTGGTATGAGCTGATTTCATGGGAATCACTAACTTTGGTGTCACGATCATTGAGATCATTCTTTGACCAAATCACAACTCAAATTTGGGGATTAAGGAAAAGAAACGTTGTTCAGCAACAAAGCAGTTTACCGCTGTTTTTCCACTTCTATAACAGATGGGCAAAGAAAAGAAAGACGCCCGTCGACTTAGTCCCAAGGTATGTATATACCAGACCTGTAGATTCCCTGCACGGTGTGTGCACGGAGCAGCGTGACCGGTTTAGTAAATGTGGTCGTGAAAAGGACGGACGTTATCTGTGGTAGATGAGGAAAAACAGCAAACGCCAATTCCTCAGTTGTAAAAGTGCCCATAGTGCTAGTATAATCCTATCATAGGACCACTGATACTTAAGATGAGTTGGATCTTGACTGTGATACCTAAGAGAGACCTGGAATATACCACACAAGCATTTACAATGTATACTGTACCACGACCCCGCTTACGTAATTGCCCCTTCACAAATTTGTCCATTTCATTTGTTGCCCTTTGCCCCATGACTGTCTGCTCTTTCAGGGATACAAGGGCCACCGCTGAAAAGGCAAAAGGCCCCAGCCGACGGAGCTCGCGGGCAGAGAAGGACACTGAGGAGGAAATGTCTGACAATGGCCAGAGAAAGAGGGCATCCAGGCCAGGGTCAGCTTCTTCCAACACAGGAAAAGCTGCAGGTAGGCATGTAACTGGATGGCGTGCACATGATCCTCTTGTATTTGCTCAAATTTCTGCATCATTCCATTATTAAGACGTAATCACGTCATTCGAAGTGGTTTGATGTGAAATGCTAAATTCTAGAGGAACTTACCAAATTGTTTGCAGTGATGGTGATAGGAACCAAACGTCTACTAAGTTTTTACTTGAAATGGTTGCTAACAAGTTGGCTGGTGCCTGAGACATTGTTTTGATAGTTTGATAGTACATGCAGGGTGTTGTAGGGCAAAATAGTCCCCCAAAGAATATTTTATCGGGTTTATCACTATTTTACCATCATCAACATTACATATAAAATCTCATGTGTTGGTTCACTGGTGGTTTTGGATAGTCAATAAAATGGCTATATTTGTGTTGATATTGCCCCTGGTTCATGTCACCTCCACTGTCAGTCATTGGGTTTCTCTACAATGAAGCATTTCGCATCAAACCATTTTGAATATGACAGAAGTCCTTTTTAGGCCTCCTTACAGTACAGTCCAAATGGTTTTATTATATTATTATTATTAGTAGTAGTAGTAGTGGTAAGTAGTAGTAGTATAAATTATAAGGAAATGTTATTTAAGGGGTGTGTGTCCCTTTTAAAGGTCCCTTCTTAATAACCCTTCGAAATAATACATTTCAGGGCATGTTTTTGGCTTTGCCGATATGATTCTTAGGCCTGTTACACACCACATAATCGCCATCGTTGTATGAGCTGATCTCAGTTATTTTCCAGTTGTTAGCTTTCACAGTGGTATGTTTACGTCACAACAAACACAATGTGAATTTTTGTTGGTTAAGGCACATTAATGTACATAACAAAGAAGCAGAAAACACTTTTTATTGAGACGCATATTACCAAAGTTCTAACTTCTGATTGGTGCCTTTTGGAAGGTAGCACTGAAAAATCTTGGCTGATTTGAGATCATCTGAGGTCATTTTTGTTACCAGTTGGTAATTAGTGAGACTCAGGAGCTGAGAGACAATTTGATGACTTTAGGTTTGTACTGTAATAGTATAGTTGTTAATCATAGTTAGATATGTGACAGTTAATTGTGACAGTCCCAGTGGTTCTTTGAGGAAATCAAGAACATTTGGGGTCATGAAAACTGGAAAAAATGGTAATAGGGGCTTTTGAGTTTTGTTTTTGAGTAACTAACTGTGATGCCCCCTTTTAGTTGAAAAAATATGCAAATTCTGAATAGCACTGTTCAGACTGTGTACAGAGAAAGAGAAGCACTTTGTTTCTTTGCATGACCAAAAATGCTTGCCTATTATGTAACTGATGACTAATTTCCTGTTTTCTTGTCTTTTAAGAATCAAACACTGGAGCGAGTCCCACCCAGACGAAGCGAAGGAAGTCTAAGTGATCATGAAGCTTAACATAGCTGTGAATTGTACATTTCGCTTTTCTTATTTGACCTGTTTTATCTGCTGTTTCTCCTGTTAATCATGTTGTGCGTGTGATAACCGTGTACAGACGCTTTTAAAAAGATATTAATTATGTTTTTGTCCTCTGCTACGTGAAATACTATTTAGAACTGTGTGTATGGTGTGTGTATGTGTGTGTGTGTGCGTGTGTGTGTGTCATGTTTTTATTATATGCTGGATTAATCATGAAGACTGATAATAGACTTATCATGTTGATTGTATAATAATGTTGCAGAATTGGATTAAATTTTCTACTCCTCTTGTCCCTTTACATGGATCAGTAATTGAGTGTGCACTTCTCATTTCCCTGTTACTTGAGTAAATTTTGTTTGTGTAATCATTGACCCCTGTTCTTTCTTTCGTTCTTTCTTTTTATGGGCAGCTAAATATTTTTTTCTGTAAAAGTCCCTCCCTCCCTCCCTCCCTCCCGTCCCACAAACAATCCTAGTTATGAACCTGAATTTTAAAAATAAAAGCTTGATTCCACAAGCAGTCACTTCTTCCATGTGTGATGTAATTTGGACCATGTAGTCGTACGCAAAAGTTGCATGTTGTTGATTTTCTAAGTGAAAATAAGTCAACACATCCTCTGCAGAGAAACATACTTGTGGACATTTTAATGCACAATTACTTTATTACTATTATTTATTATTATTTATTATTTTTGTTATTATTTTAGCTACATTTATCAAATTGGGGAGAAAATAAAACCCAACATGGCCTGTACAAAAGTTCAGTACTTCAATACTGTATTGTTTCATATGTATTGTCCTTATTAACCTATAAATAGATAAATTGTGCACTAAAATTTGCAGACAAAAAAATAAGTGTGTTCTCTAGAGGGTGTGTTAACTTATTTTTACTTAGAAAATCAACAAAAACATGTAATTAGGTGTTGAAAACTTGCTTATAACTGTAAATATACAGTACTGTGCAAAAGTCATAGGCACCTAAGCACATTGTTTAAAACCATTTATCTTGGCTGCAAGTATGTATTTGCTTGAAAAAACACCATTTATTATTAGATATATGGAAATAAACATAAATGCAAGAAACAAAAATTTTTTTTTCAAAAATGTAGTATCTTGTGAGATTCTTTGAAAAACAATGGTTCCAGGTTTCTCCTCAATTCCCCCAGTTATCACATGGATTTATTAAATTCCATAAGCAGCACACTTGATTTAACATAATATGTTGATTAGCCAAACCAGGTGTTGGATGATAACCACAGATAATACTGGGCTGCCACGAGGAGAGGTTTGGAAATAATGTAACAAACACATTGACCACCCTTCATTTATTTCATTTCCAGCCATTAAATACAAGTTATTCATTTTTCAGGAGATTTTTCTGAGGAGATCAGATATTAGATAACCCACTGGCATAAGGAAGAAGAAAGTCAAAGTAAAATAAGTGAAAAAAAAAAAAACTGGAATTAAAAAATTATTAAAAGCTACAAATGAGACTCCTAACAACCACCTGGAAGACCTGATAGACACAAAAGCTGTCCCCATCAGATAAACAGCACTGAAAGCTTTCACCTTTGTGAGAGAGGAGAAAATCAAGCTGCTTCAGATCTGAAATCATCCACAGGTGTTTCTGTCCATCCTTCCACTGTGAGAAGACAACCCAGCGCTATGGGTCTGAAAGGATGGGTAGCTGTCAAGAAGCCTCACTGAGAAAAGGACACAGACACATCAAACAAAGAAGCTGAACAATGGACTGACCACCCCAGAGTCCAGACCTCAACATCACTGAATGTGTTTGATTACTTCAGAAAATGATAAACCAACTTCTAAGCCTGAACTTTGGAGGTGTGTCTGCAGATTTCTTTGAGAAACTGAAAGTGAGTCTCCTGACAAGGTGGAAGCTGTAATAAAGGTAAAGAGTGAAAAAAAAAAGGGTCAGCGGTTTTGATTATGAAAATTGGGAGTATCGTGAATGATTAGGCCTAAGGTTGAGTTGTGGGCGTGGCCTGTAGAGCTTCATTGGCAATCAGGTGAATGCAATTAAGCTTAATAGCGCTCTGCCTTTGTTTGGCCTTTGAAGAAAAGACTATTTCGCAGTTTCCTTTGGTTTGTTTCCATGTTTGGCGGCTGTTTTAATCGCCGTGATGATGCACGATCTCTAAATTGCCTGTTACGCGAGACATAAGCCGAATAATAAGCCTGTTTAATAACGCTACGCTGTGTTTCCTCCAATGGAGCGCTGCGTTTTCACGCCCAGCGACTGTCACGTAGCTCTGAGCGACGTTCTCGGGTTGCAGAACCAGCCGGTCTGTGAGGAGCAGGCCTGGGCGCTCTGCTACCAGCTCTGCTCACTGCTCGAGCCCAATTTCACCGGAGACCTGGGGGAGACGTTCTCCTCCTGGAAGTCCTTCAGGCTCCCAGGACCTGAGGGCATCTTATTCTCAAACGACGGCAGCATCTCTCTGAGAATAGACAGCAGCAAGACTGGTAAGACAAGACTGCCCTCTCTAAAGTTCCCTCAGCTGAGCTGCTCTGACCGACCTTGTTTACAGTGACCACCATCTTCTTCAACCAGGTGAGCAGTTTGTCATGGAGACTGAGGATCAGGTAAGCAGCTGTTCAGCCTGTTCACAGTGGTGGTGATGGGAACCAGACGTCCACCTCTGAAAGCTCCCTCACAGAAAGTTATTTCATGAAATGGTTATAAATACGCTGAGACATTATGTCACAGTAGTTTTGGTCTAAGACATATTTTGTAAAAACATTGATGGTGGAGGGACTCATGCTGGTTGTTAGAAGACAAAACGGTCCTTACAGAAAACCTTTTCTTTAAGAAAGGTTTTCAGATTTATCACTGTTTTATGATCAACGTATAAAAACTTGGTACACTTAAAAGAAAGTCCTTCAAGGGTTCTTTAGTAAAGATTGTGGTTCTGTTTAGAACCATGACCCCCCAAATAACCATTTGTATGCCGAAATTGCTCTTTGCATGGTGAAATGGTTCTTCAGATTAATGGAGAATGTGTTGTATATGGTTCTAACCTTTTTGAAGAGGTTATCACCAAAAAAAGGTTCTGCTATTGTGATGTCAAGCTTGTATACAATAGACGAATGCTTTAGGGTGCTATATAGAACCATTTCAGAAAGTTTAGGACTATATATAACACATTCTTCATCAATCTGAAGAACCATTTCACCACGCAAAGAACCATTTTGGCATAAAATGGTTCTATATAGAATGCATAATGCATGGTTACTCAAGAACCATCTTTTAGGAGTGTAGGTTCACTGGCGTTTTTGGATAGTAAATAAAACGGCTATATTTGTGTTGTAGTCATGGTGACCTCTAGTTCTTATCACCACCACTGTAAAGAAATCTGAGTCGATAAGTTCCTCTACAACAAACAGTTTTGAATCAAAGCACTCAATGACCTTTTGTCTCAATGATAGAATTATGCAAATTGATGGACTTGCCCTTTGAGTATCTGCTCAAAATAATACAATGGAGCTATGCAACTAGAAGTCCTATACATGCTGGTCACTTTGTGAGGAAACCCCTCCCTTGTAGCTCCAGAGACTGTAGACTGTACAGTTTGCGTTGTTCATCCTCTAGTCCTTCATCAATGGTCAGTTTCAGATCTCACAGCTGCTCTTGTCCTCATACTTTTTGAGTGATGGTCCACTCTTAACATCTCACATCTCTGTGTGTTTTTGTATTTAGGTGTCCGCACCGGCTCCTGTTTTTGACACTGTCTTGGCTCAGGGTGTCTTTGGTCTCTAAGCCAGGTTGTACTGGCTTAAAGGGGAATTCCACCAATTTTTTTAAATTAAGGCACAATTAAATTGTTGAGCTTTAAAGTCATTCAGAGTGGTTTGGTGTGAAAAGATTTATTGTAGAGACTCTGATTTCTTTACAGTGGTGGTAGTGGCAACCAAGGGTCGACATGACTATGACACAAATATAGCAGTTTTATTTGCTATTCAAGAACACCAGTGAAGCTTTATACAGAATGTTGATGATGGTAACATAGTGATAAATCTAAAACCATACGTTTTCTTTGGGAACCATTTTGCCTTACAACACTCTGCATGTACCTCTTTGCCATGCATAGATTAAAAGATATGTTTTAGACCAAAACCTTCTCAAAACTATCGTAAAACAATGTCTCTCAGACTTTCTGTGAGGGAGCTTTTAGAGGTGCACGTCTGGTTCCTATCACCACCCCTGTGAACTGTTCTGACTTGGTAAGTTTCTCTAGAACAGAGCATTTCACACCAAACCACTCTGTATGGCTCTGTTTACATTTTAACCATTTAATTATGAAGAAATTTTAAAATATTGGTGGAATTCCCCTTTATGGATACGTGTTCATTTTTGTAAGCTGCTCTAGGTAAAAGAAAATTGACTGCAGTCAGTAACTATAATTCTACAAAGTGAACCTGTATGGTGGGTGTTTCTGATAAAATGGCCAGCGTGGTACCTTATAAGCTGGCAGCGCATGTTTCCCCAGACTGTAGATTACGTGGGCCGTCTGATGTACTCCTGTCTTGACTGGGGTCTCGGAGCAGATGTGGAAAGGGAGCTGGATGAGACGCTGGAACTGCTGGTGTCTCAGATGACCAAAGTGGACATCAGGCTTGGAGCAGAACACTGTCTTCAGCCGATAAGCACCATCACTGAGGTTCTCCAGGTAGGCTGGCCTAGCCGTAAACTGCAACTTCCACCAGTTTTGGAGCTCTTTCATTTAAATTAGGTGTGTTTGTTCTTCAGTCCACCTTACTTTTCATGTTTCCACTGTATTTTGAGATTATAGCTGAAATATCAGGTGCAGGAATGGAAGTGAGGTTTATCAACATTTAAATGAAGTCATAAGGAACATGTGCTTACTTGTTATCGTTTCATGTCTAATTGACTGTCTGAGGCGTTTCTGGGAGACTGTGCAATCCGTGACTGTCAGTAGAGCTGAGCGGAGCTGAAACTATGACAAGAACAGGAATGTTTAGGAGCATAAACCTCTCAAGAAAGTGCAGAGCTTCAAAGGACACAGATGTGACTTCATAATCGCTACCTATTATCAGTTATTAAATATTATAAGGGAATTAATGTTTTTATTCCCTGATATGGGCCCTTTAATATGTAAATATCCTAATATAACTTGCACCTCTCAAAACAAAGGCTCCTCAGTGGTTCTTGGCCTGGATGAACAGTGCAAGGATGGACCTTATAACTGTATAGAAACTTTACAACATCTGGCGGTCTTTCAAACTTAAAACCTTCATCTTATTTACAGGGATGTTTTTTTCTTTTTCTTTTAAAGAAATTTCTCTTGAGGGAACTGAAAGTGTTTCTTCTGTGGTATCAACTCATTTTGGCACCTTTTATGTTGCAGGTTTGTGAGGAGCGTCTTTATAACCCCAGTCAGGCAGCTCAGCATTACAGAAGCGTTTGTTCCACCCTTTACTCACACACAATAGAGCTGTGCCACTATCTGCAGATCATCCAGCGAACAAAGGAGGTGAGGAGAAGCCTGGATCCTTAAAGGGCAATTCCACCAATATTATTTACGTTTCAAAAAAACACTGCGGTAACAGCCCTGCAGAATGTGTCAACCGCCCCTGTCCTGCAGTCTGCAGACAGACCTTTCTCTCCGGAGCAGCTGTAAACTCCGCTCTGGCTGTTTCTACAGCGGCGTTGGTTCTGTCGTATCAAATTGAGCCAGAGTCGATCCTGAAAGTCAGGTCAGCGTCTTCTCCACACTGCTACAACACTGAACACTCTCTTTCCTCCAATAGCTGCCATGCGCCGTGTGAGGGCATGCCGAGGTGCTGGTAGGAGGGCAGTAGGGTCTGTGTTATGAGATTGGCATGCAAAATGATTGCCATCATCGTTCACGTCACATACTGCTTAAAATTTCAGCAGCCCCAACTTAAAACACCTTCCTGCGTCCCTGCATCGAGGCATTTCAGGCAGCTGAGCAAAGTGGTTTCTGTGGGAGAGAGTTTCTCCGTCTGACTTTGACTTTAAGCTTTGTAACTTTGCAGACCGTTTACATGTACAAAATGTTACAGCACACTAAAGGAAAGAGAAAAACCAGAAAAGCATAATAGATCCCCTTTAACGCTGCAGTATTTTTACCTTATTCCAGACGAATCCACAAGGAAATGAGCTCTTATTAAAGACTCACGCCATGCAAAGCTCCTCCAAAATGGATGCAAAAATGAAGAAACAAAATCATAATTCTTAAACGGAGCTACAGATTTTAAGGGAAGTGCTGCAAGTAATAGTAAACCATTTAGTAGAGATGCTTTTAACTTTTAGTTATGACAAAGTTTATCAGAAGTTGCTGATGCTAGAAAAAATTACATCAAAATCTCAACAATTTTAATTGTATGAATTATATTTTAGAATGTGAAATTTCATTTCTCATTGCTAAGAATTTAGGCCTCTTTCCACTTCATTATATCTATTGAAACAGTTTCTTACTAACATTTGTTTTAACATGGTCATTTATTCTCCCCATGCAATTAAAAGTTAACATGCTGAAATTCTGATTACTATGGCAGGCATTTTATTTCCTGATTTCCTGATCACGTTCAAGTTACGCATTTGAAAACTGAATTTCCACTAGTAAATAATAAATATCGACTAGTAAGAATTCAGTTTTAGCTTGTAAGAAGTACGTTTTTACTAGTCAAAAGTCATTGTAAATTGAAAAATAGGGTTCACAAATAAAACTGGCTGCAATAAAATCAACTCTAAGTAATTAGAATCTTGTCAGATTATTTTTCACAAGCTAAACCATCTTTCCACACACAGAAAGGATTCACCAAGCGTTGAATTTGACGCATGAAGAAGATGCCGGTTTAAGTGCAGTGCCAGTTAAATCTACTGATCTGAAATCCTGTTCAAACAAGTCTTCCTCCCCCTCATGTTGGCCTACAACAGCAGTTAGAAGGTTTACAGGAAAATTACCGTCAAAGCGGTTTAGGTTTGTTTTTTTGTGGTACTGTGTTATGAATCACTACGACACGTAAATGCAAACATACCAGTGATCCTTGTTTATGAATGAGCAAATGTCAGTCACGCTCTTTGCTCTTAACGTCACAGTAAATCCGGCAGTGTGTTCTATGAAACTGGCCCAAATGTATCTTCTTGTGTGCACTTCTCCTATGAGGCAGGTTTTCTGAGATGGGTGCCATCTTTTTGGAACACAAGATGTTGGCAGTGCTGATACAAGCACAATCCATTCTTATTTGAGAGAATCAGTTTAAGGTTGATCTAGTCATGTATTGAGCACAAGGAAGCCAGAGTCTCAGGAGGGTGTGGAAAAATTTAGAAAAATTGGTGGAATTCCCCTTTAAGGTTCTGAACTTTAATACTAGACTTGGTACACATTAAAAAGCCCATTTCCTGGACATGGATTAAGCCAAATTATGAACTAAACTGCAGTGCCAGTGGTGTTACACTGTTAAAAATCTCATACCCTCGTCCCAACTTTCTTGAAACATGTTTTTGGGATCAAGTTCAAAATGGGCAAATATTTTTCAGCCATAAAACTCCTCATATATATCGATATGTTGTCTTTGTACTATTTTCAATTTAATATAGGGTTTAAATTATTTGTGTATCGTTGCATTCTGTTTTCATTTACATTTTGCACAGCATCCCAACTTTTTTGGAAATGGGGTTGCAAAACTTTGGGCTGAATTTAATGGCTTACAGTAGGAAAATTTAATGTTTTATGGAAAATGACCCAGGAGTTTTATAGATATGACTTTTTCTATTTACAAAGTTGCTTGTAGTAGTTTGTAGAAGCAAAGACTTTTATGAAGAGATAAGCATACTTTAATGGTCGACTAAGTTGAATTGAGTGATCTCTTTAATAATTCAGAGTCTGCAGAAAATGATTGTGGAATCAGAGACCAGCCTGGTACCGAACGTAACAACTAACTGGGTAAGGAAATGTCAGTTCTGAAAAAAACTTTGTTTCATTTAAATGTGCTACAGTTAAGGTTAAGCAAGTGCTATAATGGTAGATGTTGTAACAAATCCGAATTTGTTGCATGTTATAGACTTGAGTGGCATTAAAGGGGATTTCCATCCATTTTTTTAAAAAAATGCTACATGGTACATAAAGCCATTGAGTGGTTTGATGTGAAATGATTTACTGTGGAGAAACTCACTCTCTTGATAGGAACCAGATATCCCAATGGCTACAACAGGAATGTATAATATATTTATTTACTATATTTCTCCTTCAGAGACTACTTTGCCCTTACATGTTCTCATGTTCTCTGTTAAACCCACACACACATTTTATGCAGAAATCTTTTCAAAACAGTCATAAAACAATGTCTCAGATATCAGGCAGTGTATTTCTAACCATTTCATGTAGTAACTTTCTGTGAGGGAGCTTTTAGAGGTGGACGTCTGGTTCCTATCACCGTCACAGTGAACAATTCTGACTCAGCAAGTTTCTCACAATCTTGAGAATGATGGTTCTTTTAAGGGTTCTTAATAAAGAAAATGGTTCTGGAAGCATGGACACTCAAAGAACCCTTTGTATAATTAAAGGGTTCTTTGCAGCATGAAGGCGTTCTTCAGATTGATGGAGATGGAGAATGTGCTTGACATTGTTCCATATAGAATCCTTTCAAAAATGGATCTATACAGCACCAAAAAGGGTTCTTCTGTTACGATGTCAAGCCTGTTTCATTAGAAGAACCTTTTTTGGTGCTATATAGAACCATTTTCAAAAAGGTTGCATGTAGAACCATCTACAGTGCATTCTCCATCAATCTCCATCAAAAAGAACAATTTCATGATGCCAAAAACCCTTTAATCATACAAAGGGTTTCATGGTTCTATATACAAGCATCTTCTTCTCTAAAGAACCTTTTAAGAAACCAAGCATTTCACACAAACCATTCAGTCACTGTGTTTCTTGAAATTGTCGTTGAGCAACCACTGTGGTAACCGTGGAGAGAGAGAGAGAGAGAGAGTGTCCACAATGGTAGTCTCTCTATCATTTAACTATGGTAGTTGTTCAACACCGCTTTTGGGAAACGCACCCCTGGATGACTTCATTTACATCAATTTAATTATGCAGAAATTTTGAAAAATCAGTGGAAGTCCCCTTTAACAATGGCTTTGAAAGTCAGTTTTGGGTTGCCAGGTTGAGGCTCAGTTTAACTCATGTGTTTTGTGACTTTTTATAAGTGTTGATGTGAATAAATCTTTTAAATGCAGACAAGTTCAGATCAGGTATTTGGGTTCTTTTCTCCAGAGCGGCACTCAGGAGTTTGTGTGGAAGGACCTGTTGGAGGAGCTGAGCAGAGGTGTGGTCTTGCGCCCCCCAAAGGCCACACTGAGCACTAGCGCCCGTCTGCCTGCGGACACTTCACCCTTCAGCCAGCTCCTGCAGGACATCCAGCTCAGACGCTACACGCTCCGCAAGGTGCAGGTCAGCGCCCCCGTCATGTTCTCCTTTATTAATTTACTTATTTAATTCTTCTACTTTTTTATTGTGCTTTAAGCTTTTATTCATTTATTCTCATCTTTTTTTCTGTTTTGCTCCTTTTTAATTGCTTCTATGTTGTCTGCATTCATTGAGTTTTTTTTTGTTTGTTTGTTTTTTTTCATCTTTCATTCTCCATTTTTGTAATTGCAATTGTTTTTATATAATATTTAGTGTTGTTAAGCTCTTTGAGCTGTTTTAGTTACAGTTAGAGGAAATATGCTGGAACAGTACACTTTTGATTTTATAGCACAAAAAAGGGTAAAATGTCCCACTTTTTGGCATAAGAAGTCCTTTTTAGCAAATATTATTTTCTCAGTTTTACATGATGTAAAACTTGTTTAAATCATTTATTGGATGATTTCTAGTCTTTGCATTTTTTGGATGTTTTAATTAAAGCATAACACACATACTTACAATTTGAATGCAAACACCAAATTATATTGGTGCAAACACCAAATTATACATTTTTGTTTATTTGTTGAATTGAAAAGAAGTGATCCCAACCTCTGCAGCAATATTCAAATGTGAAATATTTAACAAAACAAAGCTGTACACATGGCTTGTGCAAATGTTTGAGCACCCTACTAAGTCAGTGCTTGGTAATTCCCTTGTGACAGACATGAGTACTTTTTGTAGCCAGATAGGAGTCTTACTGTTTGGAAATTTTCAAGCGAGAGAAATTTCACCCACTTGGCAGCGTGTGTAAAATCAGAGATCTTAAATACTCCCTAGATTTTCAGTGGTGTAAAAGTCAGGGGACTCTAAGGATCACTCCAAAAACTTCAGCCTGTGTCTCTTAAAGTAGTTCATGGAGGATTTTGCAGTATGTTTTGGACCATTGTCCTGTTGTAGAAACCAGCCTGTGTTCCATTTTCCTTCATTTCAGAAGTGAACGAAATGTGTGATTTGGCCAGAGTTGCACAAACTCTTGCAATCATCTGTATATTGTAAAATGAAATTGAGGATTCTGTCACTTTGGTAACAATCTCCTTTAATAGGTTGATGGTTTGTTAGATAAAACAAAAATCACAGTAAAATAACGCTTAATGTCAGTTTTTTTATAAGAGAATAGTAAGATGTAAGATGCTGTAAGATACACTGGAAAATGTACAGGAACATTTGTGTTCTGTGGATCTTAGATCACTAAACAATTATTTTGTAAAATGAAATTGTACAATGTATGTGTCTGTGGTCACTCTTTCATGCAGGCGGGGAGGAATGGTCAGAGCAAGTTGGACCCTCACCAGGCGCTGTTAGAGGTGATACGGTCAGGGCCGAAACTGCGTCCAGTGAGTATTTGTCTTATTAGTGAATGCTAAGTGTTTACAGTATGTGTCCTGATAGCTTTATGTAACTGCATTCTGTGGTGGAAGAAATATTGGCTTGTCAAATATTTTGTCGTTCCAAAAGCTCCCCTCCTGTTTTTGAAGACCAATCTAGTTTGTGTCTTGTTGTTCAGGTCTCTGAGCGCAACCTAAAGCCCAGAGTTCAAAACCCCAAACATGAGACCAGTCTGCATGAACTGCTGATGCAGGAGATCCGCTCAGCTGACCGAATGAAGCTGCTGTCCTCGTATAAGAAAAGACGGTCTTATAAAGGTAGGAATCTGCCGTTATATTATCATCTCTGTTGACGGTAGATATTAGAGCTGTAGTTTAGTTAGTCCTGGACGATCTCTGTGCTTTAGAGGACTTCTTCCCCTGGCTCCAACACAACAGACCAACTATTAAGGAGCTGAAGAGTCCAGTCAAGCTAAGGTGGAAGTTTGGCAAAACCAACAGTCCCCATCCCCCATTCACCAACCGTTCTTAAGAAGAAATTTCTTTTTAAAACCCGCTTACAGTTCTTCATGAAGATTATCAATCACCAATGTTTTCTTATTTGGCATTTGTTCTTACGTAAGAACAGAATCTTCACACACTCGAGCACAAAGGTGTGAAACGTTTTGCGGCTTAAGAACACCATCAATCTAACAGACTTTTTCTTCCTTTCTCAAGAACACTTTTAAGATATGGGCGAATGAGGTCAAATGTGAGTGTGAAGAACTTTGAAGAATCTCCACATAATGTAAACTTTAAGAAGAACCCTTATAAAACTTTTAAACAGGGTTCTTTAGGAAACCAGATGTGGTTCTTCTGTGCCCTCGCTCAGAGAATCCCTTGTAGCACTGTAATTATTAGAGTGAACACGCTGCAGGCCTAAAATACTCTCCTTAAACCCTGTGGAGTTGGTCAGTAATCTCTACTAGTCGTGATAATGTGGTTTGACACTGTATGACACACTGTGCACTGTAATGGTGTCTCAATTCAATTTTTCGATACAGCCTGAAAATCTGCTTTCTGTTAACATGTTAATGTTTCAGTTTTCAGTTTATTGGAGTGTTATGAAACATCCATAAAGTTACAATATTGCCCAAGCCACAAGCTATTATCGTGGCCTCCAGCTAACAAGCAATGTGCATTTTCTCCCTGTTCTCGATTTTGAGGTAAAGAGTAAAGTCTGTCCTCATTGTGGGCTTGTTTCATTTTTATTATACTTCATGCAGTCTAATCTATGGAAGCCCATTTCTGCCCACTGAGTCTTTTAGTAAGTCTTAACAATGAAGTTTTCTCATCATTATGACTTTCATAATTGATATGGCATCTCATAACTGCCTTGCTTTCTGATAATAATGAGAATATTTTATGACTTAGTATCTCACACTTGCTACTTAGTATCTCATTTTGACATCCTATCTCATAATGAGATTGTCATAAATGACTTGACAACTAGTATTGTGATCTCATAAAATAGAGAACGCTTCTCATAAATGTGACTTGGCATCTCGATTAGGAGAATTCTCATTATCTCATCATCTTTGGCCAAAATGAGATTGTCTTATGACTTTCTATCTCCTATTATACAACAGTTAGTTCCGGCCACGCAAGATGATTGTTTGAGAAGCGTTTTTCACAAACACTATCACTCCGCTGAGACGCCATTGCTAAGCAACAACTTTGACGGATGTAGGAGACGCTCAAGCCAACAGAAACAGAAAATGGTTACTTTTAAGATCACATTTGACCGACAGCTGATTTGGTCAGACTCTGAAGATGAAACTACACTAAATTCCCAAACTGCCATTACCACTGAGCAAGCTTTTCAGTCGGCAGCTGTGACAGAAGAACACCTAAACAACCTGGAATTAGCTAGAAATGAACCGAACACCATTCACCAAACAAAATGGACTGTAAAATGCTTTACAGACTGGCTGAACAATGAACTGCTGACTGTGCAACGAGTGAGCGGAGTTTGTTACTGTGACGTAGCAACGAGCTGCTTGTTAAGAAACTATAATTTGGCGGAAGGAACTGCTAACATTAAAACATATTAAATGCCATGTTCACAGGCAAATTTATTTATTTCTTACTTTATTTATTTAACTGTTGTATAAAGGCAATAGAACACTCGAGGTTGTGTGTTACTGTGAACACAGCCGTGGTGTTATTTCGTGGTAACACACTCCCTCACGTGTTCTATTGCTTAAATTACATCTTTTCTCCTAATTATGACTTGCTGTCTAACAATATTGAGTCGAGGTTTCTCACGATTTTGACTTAGAATCTGATTATGACTTAAAAGCTTTCTTTTGCATAGAAGACCCTTTTTGTGTCTTTTAAAAAATTCTCAAACCATCCATAAGTACTAATTCTAGTAATTCTCATTATTAGGAGATTGTAAGTAATTTTTGAGATATTTGGTCATAATTATGAAAATCCTCAGTCGTAATGGAGAAACTCACATTATTATGGCCTCCTCTATGGCCCTTTTTCCAAGTGGTGGAAAGTGGTGGTTTCCAGAACAATCAGTATTAAACTGAGTGCTTTATTAGCTCCAGTCTGTGTGCATATTAAATTGAGAGGCTCGTGTTGAACATTGCAATATGTTGTACTGTCACAATTCTAATAAACAGTATATTTATTCAGTTCGTCACTAAGTTGTTTTCAGTTGCACATGGAGAGCTCAAGGCCATGCATCTGTGGATTTCTGGAAGTTTCAGCTGCCTCTTTGTTAATCTTGGTGCAGGTACTGTGGAGACCGGCTGCTCGCCCTCAAACTGCCTCGTGCCCATCTACGAGGACTCTTCACATGAAGACACGTCATTCTTTCTGAATTCAGTTCCCAACCCGAGCCAACAGGGGGCACCTTCACAAGTAGGACCTATCGCTTAAGTGCTTTGATTTTCATATCTACTGTTCACCCAAATATTAAGTTGTAAAAAGCATATGATATTTTTTTTTAGGGGGGGGCATGTAAAGGCAGTTCTCCTGCACAGGAAGACAGTTTTGCAGGTACTGAAGTTTTCAGTTCATCTTGGCTTGAACAAAACAATGACAAAGGATTGAAGATCTTGCTTAGATTATGATTCTCTCTTACTACTCTTATTATACTGTCTTACTATTCTGCATTGTGAAAAGACAACTTTAATCATGGAGTGATTATTTTAGTGTGTTTTCTGTTTTTAAAAATGCACTGCCTTCTTCTTGTCGTAGTAGAGTATAGACAATAAGATTACACCAGCTTTTTTTTTTTATTGGAAAATTCACTTTAAGAATTTTGCTTAAGCTTATACTTTATCACTGTAATCAATTCTAATCATTCTTTACACTCCAAAATCTATGCAATTGAATCACTACCTTCAGATAAACTCATTTTTCCCTCCCTGTAGGCCAGCATTAATGTCGTCTTGTGGTGTGACTCTCGGTTCTGTACAGGTTCCGGCGAACGAAGTCTGAGGTTCCTTCCTGCTCTCTCTTCCACACCACAGAGTCCGACTGCAGGCTGTAGGCTTTCTCGAGGAAAACGACGCACAAGATCCTTCGCCAGCAACCGGGAGACTTACCAGCTTGTATGTACCAAGTTTAAAGGGGAACTTCACTGATTTCTCAATTTCTGCATAATTAAATGGTTGAGATGTAAAGTCCCTTAGAGTGGTTCAGTGTGAAATGCTTTGTTCTAGAACACCTTGAGAATTTTTCACAACAGTGGTGATGGGAACCAGACGTCCACCTCTAAAAGCTCCCTCACCGAAAGTTACATGCAATGGTTATGAATACACTACGTGATGTCAGACATTGGCCTCTTTCTTTCTTCTTTAAATCATACATGTGTATAAAATGAGACAAAATCGTTCTCAAAGACTTATTTTCAACATTCCATTAAACATTCGGAAGACACATGTAGGTTCACTGGTGGTTTCGGATAGTAAATAAAATGCCTATATTTGTGTTGTAGTCATGGTGACCCCTGGTTCCTATTACAACCACTGTAAAGAAATTAGAAAACAAAACACAAATCTGAATGTAAAATGTTAAATTATGAAATTTAGTTTTAATTCAAGTTTAAAGTGACATTTTCAAGTATGTCAGGTTTAAATTTCTAGAGCAATAAGTTGGTGCTCTCAAACTTTTTAAAACTTATACATGAATTATTGATTGATTTAGGCCGTTGTCGTTGATTGACAGGCTCTGAAAAACAAAGCGCCTGTTCCCGTGACAATCGCTGATGTGATTAATAAGCACTATTCCAGCGAGGGGAGTCTGAAGACCATGTTGTGTGACACCTACAGGAACTGGCGGGTGAGTCCAGCACCACTTTCAGAAGCATTTTATAGTGAAAGACGTTAAGATATAAATGTACAGTAAGTGCAGACTTACTCTAGCCTAGTTTTCAGTGCCAGAGGAGAAATCAGCCTCAAATACATGGCTCAGAGTATGCGTTTATAGAATGCATTAAGAACTACAGCTACAACTCAGATGGCCTTTAAAGGACAGTTTAAAGAACAATTTCATGTTTAAATTACTAATCACTTATTTGCCCAAATTTGACCCTAAAGAAGAATGTTATAGCCACGAGTGGACAAAATAAGCTTATTTAGAACATATTTATTACTTTCAGTAATCCAAAACCATGTATGTATGTATGTATGTATGTATGTATTAGGGGTGCGGGAAAAAATCGATTCTTAGATGCATCGCGATGCGGATGTGAACAATTCTGAATCGATTCACAAATGTCAAAAATCGATTTTCTAAATATTTAATTTATAACGTAATGTTGACGGAACGCAAAAAGCGGAACTTGGAAGTGCGGAAGTGCAGCGCCCGGACAGTCTGTGGCGGCACATAACAAAAACACAGCTGGATGAGTGAGAAATCCGACCTCTGCATTAAAAGCCAGGTTAGGTCAGGAGTCACAATCCAAATGATAAGAAGAGCCATTTTGTCCTTTCAACAAAAATCAAACCACCTTGGGAGCCACAAGTGTCTCAGTATGTGCTAAGGTCATAGTATGGGCTAAACAATATAAACGAAAACACAGATTAACTTCGCTTTGCTTTAAGCTTCAGCTGTAGCCGCTTTCCTACCATCTCCGCCAGAAAACTTTTCCTCAGAAGTAGATCAGTTTCTTGTTAAAAGTCTCTCAATGTTCGGCTGTTTTACGAGGCTGAAGTCGCTTTTTATTCTCCAGTTTCTTGTTCGAATTTACCTATTCCACCTTAAATTCTAACTGAGGCGCCGAATGTAAACGCGGCACCATTTAAGGTGGAACGGGAGAATTCGAAAGAGAAGCTGACTAAAGGCTTCGCCACTTTTTAGTGTGTGACAGTCTCTCGTTGCAGATTTAACATACCAGGAAACCAACTGTGCTGCTTATAAATGCGAATAACGCATCGCTGCTATGTGACCTGCAGTCTGCATGCCGGTTCTCAGTCATTGTGAAACAGGGCTTTCATGCTATGTTGCGCAGACGTCCCGTCTCAAAGATATTTTACTGACACAGCGACCCCCCCCGTCTCTGCAACGAGACCAAAACCGGAGTTATAAAATCACTAAAGAAAACGGGTAGAATAGCTGTAACGTGCTGCGTGGAGATCCACTCGCCACTGGATCTTATTTCACCGTAACTGCGCATTTTATCACAGATGAGTAGCAGCAGCATCTCATGTGCTACAAACAAGAGCACTGAATGAGAGCCTTCCAGTTCACTTGCCACATCACTTCCATCTGTTTTATTAATAAAAGATATTGGAAGTAAATTCATTATGGATCATTACAAATACTTTGCTTTAAAAGTACCAAGTCACTTTAAATAACAACAGTGAGTTACTTAGTCACTTTAAAATGAATATTGTCTCTATATTTTGTGTATGTTTAATGTATTTCAGTTGGTTTTTCTTGTATTTTTATTTTTACTTATTTACTTTCTGTAGAGTGATTAGCTGAGCCTCACCACAAGCATTTCAATGCATAAATGTCCTGACATGTTGTGCAAATGACAAACTTGAAACTTGAACTCGAAACTTGAGCTCACACAGTGAGAAAATATAAATGCTATATAGAAAAAAAGATGCATCGAGATGCATCGATAATCGTTTTATAATCGCATCGCAGCTCTCTGAATCGTAATCGAATCGTGAGGTGCCTAGAGATTCCCACCCCTAGTATGTATGATGTATGTAGTATAACTGCTCTGTTGTTGCTTTTGTTAGTTTGCTGCTCATTGATTTTTATCCTGAGCACTGTTCAGTGTAGTCTGAAGGTGCTGAAAGTATTACTTTAAAACCTGTTTAAAAGCCTTATTTGAATGACAGAGCTGCAATCATAGATTGTTGTAGCAGCTGAAGGATGCTGCAGCCGGGCTTCAGGCTGCACTGGTGCCAGGGTCTGGAAGGGTCAATTTGTTCTCTGTAAAATGTTATGCTTCTTTTTCTTCATCAGGTTTGTTCGTGTTGTACAAAACGAAGTTTGTATTTCACCTGGCACAACTTCTGTTCTCTTTGCAGTAGGTACGATTCTTTTGTTTTGGTTTTTTTTTCTTTTTTTTTGTCCAAATCTGCTTAGCATTGCAGATCATAGATTTCTCTGACTCTCTTTGTGTACTGTCGATAGGGTCGTATGTCCAGAGTGTTGTGTAGAGGTAAGTTTTATTAGTGCTGGTGCATCAGTTGCCATTATAATGTATTGAACATGGCAGAAGCTGAATGATTTGCTATTTGAGCTTTATTTTTTAAATTTTTTGTTTTAAAACATTCCCTCATCTGTGCCATACTGCAACAAAGATGCGTCTGCCATTCAAATGGTGCATCAACCTTCCCCTAAGCTTCTTTAAGAAAATCATACTGAATAAAGAAAGTGAACAAAGCCAAAGAAACTTCTGGAATGAGCGCTGGTCATGGGACCCGTCCCGGTGAGTAAAACATTATGCTGTCACATGACTTTGTGGCCTGTTAAGGCTGTAACTAGTGACCTTTTTTGGCTATAATTAATCTGTTGACTGTTACAGTTAATTAACTAATTGGAGCTACCTGTGCAATTATTTTCTTCTCTTATGGTGCAGTGAAACAGTAGAAGCCATATTGCCCCTTACACTTCCTATAATGTATTACAATGTCAGAATGACTGGATCACACAAACAAATATGCCAAAACTGCAACAGCAAAATGGATATTGAGTACTTATTCGAAAATAATTCCAAGTAAAAATGAATTGTTTTAGGTAGTTTTCTTAAAACTGCATATTGCTTGAACTAGACACCAGGCATATTTTCATTTTCATCAGTTGTTGCAGTGAATGCTGGGGACTGTAGTGCATCTCTGGGTGAAACAGGCTAATAATTTATAAATAATTTTGAGGGCCAAATAGGACAAATGGATCATATAAATATTACAGAGCATTATAAAGAAATCAGTTCTTAGAGGGCAGCAACGTTCACTTGAAAACCAAAGTACTCCAGTATGGTTTATTTAAAAATGTGCTCTATAATGTTATGATCCACTAAGCTACATTCTGACAGGCTGTAATACACTACAGGAAGTGTAGAGGGCAATATGGCTTCTTTTATTTCTGTGTCATTTCAGGGTCCCTCTGGTTCTAGAAGCTCGCCTGCCCAGCTCTGTCTCTCTCCACAGCTTGGCTATGAGAGACTGGCACAGTCAGGATGTATGTGTGGGCTGCCAGGGCCTTCTCCTTGAGGCATGCGACACAGTCCATTCCCACTGCCCAATTACAGACCCTCAGGAGATTTGACCCTCTTATTACACCCCCCCTAATCCCTCCCCTGAATTGGCTGATTCTCATCAAACTGTGGCTTTGTCTCAGCTCATCCTGGCACTCAAAGCTTATAGTGCTTATGGACGTTGCAAGTGGATGTTGGGACAAAATTCTTTGTGTGATTGGATGACTTTTCTCGATTTCCACACCTAATGTTGGTGCCTTTAAGCCCCCTACAGCACCGTTTCCTCCTTTAGCCACTGTCACTGTGGAGGTGTATGTGTGTCATGTTCGTTTTTGATTATTTTTGTTGTTGGGCTAGAATGAGTTGTTTTTGGGCTGCTAGATCACAGTGGACATTCACTCATAACAGCGTTCTAGTTGTATAAAATGTTAAATATTTTAAGATCCTTTTAAATATCAGAAGGAAAATAAATATTTTTTTCCATATTTACTGTCCTGTTTTATGCTATGAAGTAAAAATGTATGTTTTGTCCTACTGTTTGCAGAACTGGCAAATGCAAATAAAAGCAATGTAGGAAAATTGACTGATCCGCCACCCCCATTAAATTTTGCCCATTTACAGCCATGTGCAGTCACAGAATAGGCACAGTATGTACAGGTAACTGTCAAATTGGCCAAACAAACATCATTGTCTCACTAATAAAATATTCATTCCTTACATTTTAAGATGTTTCTACAGCCCTGTTTCCAAAAAGTTGGAAAGCTGTGCAAAATGTAAATAAAAACAATGCAATGATGTGCAAATTATTTAAGTCCTACAAGCAAGCCAGTTTAGCACCCAGATGCTTATCCTGCAGAGCAATGCTGTTGTAATACATACAGGATGTGGTTTGACATTTTCTTGCTGGAAAAAAAAAGCAAGACCTTCCTTGAAAATGACGTTGTCTGGATGGCAGCACATGTTGCTCCAAAACTAACCTGTATATATCGTTCACCATTAATGGTGCCTTTACAGATGTACAAGTCACCATTCCATGTGCACTAATGCACCCCTATATCATCACGGATGCTGGCTTTTGAACTGTGCGCTAATAATGGCTGGAAGCTCCTTCTCTTCTTTAGCCCAGAGGACACAGCGTCCATGATTTCCATAAAGAGTTTAGAATTTTTGATTTGTCAGACCACAAGACACTTTTCTACTTCAGCTCAGTCCCTCTTAAATAAGCTTGGCCCAGAGAGGGTGGCAGCATTTCTGAATCTTGTTCATGTATGATTTCTTTCATGCATGGTAGAGTTTTAACTTGTATTTGTGGATACAGTGATGAACTGTGTTCACAGATGATGATTTTCTGAAGTGCTGCTGAGCCCCTGCAGTGATTTTCACTACAGAATTGTCTGTTTTTAATGCAGTGCCGCCTATAGATCATGGCCTGCCAATATTGGTTTTTGGATTTGTGACTTGCATACTGTGATTTCTCTGCATTCTCTATTTTAATGATATGTACCATAGATGATGAAAAGCAAAAGTTATTTGCTATTTTACATTGAGAAACATTATTCTTAAATTGTTGCACTATTTGATCGTGCAGTCTTTCACAGAGTGGTGAACCCCTCCTAATTATTACTTCTGAAAGACTCAGCCTCTCTGCGATGCTCGTTTTATACCCAATCATGTTGCTGACCTGTTGCCAATTAAGCTAACTAGTTGTGAATATTTTATTTTTTATTTATTTTTTTTTAAACACAACTTTACCAGTCTTTTTTTTGAAACGTTGCGGGCATCACATTCAAAATGAGCATACATCTTTCAAAAATCAAAAAGATTCTCAGTTTCAACATTTGATATGTTGTTATTCAAGGATAAAATGTGCAAATGGTATGGCACATTTTATTTTTTTGAGAATGTGCTAAACTTGGCGAATAAATGAAATAAACAAAACGTACTTTGACCAGGGGTGTCCAAACCATTGCATATGACTATGACAATGTAATACACTGTGCATTATTGCACTTTTTAATAAATTGCTCAATAAACTAAAATTTTACTTAAGCGTCAACGCTGTTCATTGCATGATTCATTGGTTATTTGATTCAGTAGCACAAATCAAGCAGACCTCAAGGTAATTTTGACCCCATTTACAGGGCTGTGACCGGATAGAGATTGTGCACGTAAAACTGCAGGTGTAAACGCACCCAAGATGCATTTAAAACAGATTTTAGGTCTAGTTGTTTAAATCTCTTCAGGAGGTGGCCTGTTTTAGACAGATGTTTATACAGGTGTAAACACATCTGTTTCCTTAGGCCTCATTTCACCACTAATATCCCTCCAAATGCTGTGGCAACCCCTCCCTCTGCTGCTCTTATTTACTTTCCAAAACCACCAGTGAACCTACACATCTTCTTAGTTTTATATGTAATGATGATAAAATAGCAGTTAATCTGAAAGAACAACAACAAAAAAGTGTATTTTGTATTTTGCCCTTTTTTATGATTGACCTCATAGCAGGAACAGATGTAACACTCCTATGTTATACTATAAACTGTTATGTAGATAAAGAAAGTGGAAATTTAACCATGGCCTGTCATGATCATGAATTTAGCTGAAGATTAATTGCCATATAAATGATTGAGATTAACAATTACATTTTTTTTGTTCATTATATGCGTCTATTAAAGTACAAGCCTGAAGTGGCCAAATTGGCTGATTAGCTGCCAATACTTAGTTGCTCTGACCACAGCCCAAATATACAAACTTTACTGCACTCTGAAGGTTCAGCAACAAGTCAAAGGTCAGAACTGAAAACACCCTGTTCATATTTATTGTGAAATATAAAGTAAATAATAATTGTGATCAACTTCAATAATTGTGATCATGTAATAATTGTGTCAGGCCTATTATCTGTGCATGAATGTATATTCTACTGGCCGTGTATTGCTTTTAAAATGTGTAAGATTTCCATATTTTAACAAAAATAATGTTATTTAATGAGTTCCAAAACCTTCAAGCTTAATTTGTTGCAATACATGCTACAGGAAATGGTCTTGTTTTTGTGTTTTTTTTTTAATTGCTCATAACATGAATGGTAATAGCAATAAACATAATAATATTGAACACGTTTGAATAATAAAATAATAATGGTAAATATAAGCAATTTGAAAATGTAAGTGTGCTATTTTGTTTTTGCCTAAAACTATTAAATTAATGTTGGTGTCAACTTGATTTGATGTTCTAATTTACCACAAAATAAACAGTAACACTGATTTACTCAGTCCATCATGTGTCTGGTGTTTGTTGTTTATTATTGTGATTAGTTTGTTTTCCTGATTTTCATACTATTGCACTTTGGGTTTTAGAAAAATATGTTACAAGTTTGTTTTATTATTATTATTATTATTATTATTATTATTGTTGTTGTTGTTACGGTCCCACTTTATATTAAGTGTCTCTAATAACTATGCAGTTACATGTGAACAACATATGCAACAACAATGTAACTACAAACTATTTAGTCAGCGTTACAGATGGACTACAGAAGTGCAGCTTATGTAATTACACATGTGTATCAACTTCAGTTTTGTCTCATGTAATTACACAAGTGTATCTTAATAGTATCTTAACAGCCTATTCTCTATCATGTAATTACACAAGGGTAATAACATAAATGTAATTACATTTGTAATCAGACTGGAACAGCAGTTTTTTTTTTCCAGCAGTAAAAGGAAGTGTGTAATAACTTATATTGACATTACTTACACTGTATCTGCCAGCTTTCCTAACATTTAGCTAGCATTTATGTTGCTAATGCTGTGACGCTGTAAACAGTTTCAACTTTAAACCATTCTGTAATGTAACAGTACAGCAGATGTCCCTTTATCTTAAAGTGTAACTTTTATGACATTCATTAAATGTATTGCATTTCCCCCCAAAGCATAGTCTATATTACCACTCCATTATTACACAGTGCCTATATAACAACTACACAGAACTGTCCACTTATCTTAAAGTGTAACTTTACACTACAGGACAGTTCCTGTGTAGTTGTTATATAGGTACAGTGTAATTACAGAATGGTATTAATCAATGAGATGTGATTAGGTTACCTTGTTACCACCCAGTTATTCCACAGTAATTATGGAAAACATAAATGTAATGTTGTGTAAAAAATACTTCCTTTAACTGCTGGAAAAGACCTCTGATCTGTAGTGTATCAAAAAGACACACTTGTGTAATTACATGAGGCAAAACTGAAGTTGATACACGTGTAATTTCATAAGCTGTACTTCTGTAATTTGTAGTTACAGTGTTGTTGCATATGTTATTCATGTGTAACTACACAGTTATTAGAGGCCCTTACTACTACCACCACCAAGTACTTATGCAGTAGCTCAAGTCCTTTGGCCAAAGGCCTTTCATTTTTTCTTACATTTAATTTTTTTCCCCCATGGTCCACTTAACATTTGTGTGTTTTTTTTTTCACCAAAAAAACAGGCATAATTCATTTTTACATGAGCATTTTCCAACCTCTCCCTTAGAATTAAATAGACTCCCTTTTATACGATGCCTTTAAGACTGATGTAAATGAGCTCTATTCTGATTGGCTGTCCTCATTCAAAAAGCAGTGTTGGTTTTTCTGACATTGCAAAAAAAATCAAAATAGGCTGTTTTGCAGCTTAATTCTCATGCATGGACTGTGAGGAGATCAGGGAGTGAATGGTACACTTTGAAACTTCTAACAATATTTAAATGTTGCATCGAATTATTTCCCAAAAGTGCGGAATTCAGTTTTCCATGATATGGGCCCTTAGAGCAGTGTTTTGAGCTACTTATATGTTGCTTTTTGGGAAGGCCTGTTTACTCTTACTGGAGGCACTGTTTACCAACATGATGCTCTTTTACTAGAATGTGGGTTTATACAGGGTTGGTCACAATACTTTGAAGAAGTAGTGATGGCTGAATACTGAATACACTGACCAATACATAAAAAAGTAATGTATTTAAAATACATCTTAATAAGGCATGTGAGAATTTTTTTAATTTAATTCTTGTTGTTCTTTACTGTTTCTAGTTGGCAGTTTTTTCATATAATTATTCT